CAGCGATAGATAAAAGCAAATTTGTATTTTCCTCTTTTGTTATCAGTTTTAGAAGTGTTTGCAAAACACGATTAAAAATTATTTTTTTTCCTATTTAAATAAGCGTCTGTACTTTAAGATTAGAGTATCTTAGAAATTTGTATATTAAAATGTATACCAAATATTAAACAGTTAATTGTGGAATAAAATGCACAGTTTATCATCTGCACAATATCACCAGTTCTTTCTCAGCAGAAGTTTCTGTTTAAAACTCCGATGTCCCGAAGCCAGTTGCTGATGCGCCCAATGCTGAAATTAAGCGCTGAATGTATACATTATCCACACCGAATGATTGTAATTCATTTGATAGATATCTGAACATTGCTTTTAAGCAACACACCCTCAATAATTTGGGGGAGAACATGTAGAAGAACATGTAGAACTATTGAGAACTATATTGAGAACATGTAGAAGATATTTTTGGAATTCTCTATTGAGAACATGTAGAAGATATTTTTGGAGGAAAAAAGAATTCAAATATTCATCATCAGTGGATTACGTGGCGCTGCAAGAGTTACAGATGCAAGTCAGATGGTTAAAACTTTATTAGAACTATAAATTTAATTTTGCAAAGATGTTTGCTTAGTGTAAATATAGTTTTCACCGAATTACATTAGAACTGTAATGAGAATTTTCAGCCTTCTCAAACAGCTCAAAAGAGCATTGTGCTGGCCTTTTAAATCGGATAAAGATTGTGTATGAGTCTGATAACGTGACGTTTTAAGAATTTCTCAGTGTCACAAGGTTTTAAACGTGGTGATTGGGATAGCCAAGCATCTGGAAAGCTTCAACATATGGTTCGATCATCAGTACAGTAAGTTTGCCCTAAAAAATCCTTTTATATTCAGCATGATGGTTGCATATTTTTACATTTAGATAGAAGTAAACGAACATAGGTTTCTTTAACGGCAGGAACCATATAGAGTGCAAGGAGACTACTCCTCAACCATAAAGGAAGGCGAAATGAAACTGATAATGAATTCACATCGCGCAGTCCATATTATTGCGTGCATACGGCTTCGTAATGGAATCGTACACTGAACCGATGGTAGCTTGATAAAATTTATTACAGGAATCAATTGCGGTTATACAGGGACTAGGCCAATACGTCGCCAAGTTTGGCGACAAATATTTACCGGCAAAACTATCGCCAGCTTGGCGCTATTTAGAACATTTCGTGAGATTGCCATTTACTTAAATGTTAAATGGACTTGCCCCTGTAACATTATTTTTCTTGGGGGGGGTATCGCACTTTTGAAGTATTTCATGTTATATTGTACAAGAGATACTACTGTTATACGTATGATTTCACTAAAATTATTTATATAAATACACAATTCGTAGCATTGCTCCCTTCCCAAGGACTGCACTTCACCGGCAGTACAATCTCTAAACGGAAAGCCATGCTTACAATTAAGGAAAATCAATACAATACTAAAATAATAATTTCAGTGAATATCATACAACAAATGAAATACTAAATCAATAAATAAATGCGTGAATTTACAGATTTATACACCAAGTAGGACCATAGTCTTAGTGTACTATTTATTTTATATAGACGATGTTGGTTACGTACTGTGGTCATAGCAAGGGTCCAACTTTTCGAAATGAATGATTTTCGGCTTAGAATTTGATGAGTCACGGATCCGAACTTCGACGTCGTCCAGCCTCTTTAAGATGTGTAAGGACCGTCTCAGGGAGACTGTGGTTTAGGAGAAAGTCCTTTCCGTCTAATAGGATTCCATAACCACACCTTTACGCCTTTGTTGAATCGACGTTCTGTATCTCTCGTGTCGTATCCGGTGTTCATCACCTCTGTCGCCAGGCTGAATCGACCTCGAGCAAAATTTTGCATCACTTCAAACCGTGCTTGGAAATCTTGAATGTGCACCTCAAGCGATGATGGCCGAGAGCGACCAAACAACAGATCACAAGGCAGACGAAGGCATCTGGAATCCGGGAATAGCCGGTAGTCTCGTGGACAGCACTGCGGTAGGCCAGTAAGAAATGAGGTAATTTCTGGTCCCAGTTATGTTTTTTTCTGGAAACCATCAGCTAGAGGTTATTAAGTATGGTTCGTTTAAACATCTCAACCATGCCGTCTGACTGTGGATGGCGTCATCTGGGTTTTGTCTAAGCCGAGTAGTTTACAGAGTTCTTGAATTAGAGCCGAAATAAAATTCCTACCCTTTATCGGAATATAATTGAAATCCGAATCTGAAAAATGAATTCTGTATCATTACTTCTACCACAGGATAGGCCTTTTGATCAGGGGTAGATACACCTTAGCTCACTTTGTGAAGTTATCAGTGACAACAGGGATGTATCTGTTGCCAGCAGCAGTTCGTGGCAGAGGTTCCAGGATATTAAAAGCGATTCCTCAGCTTCGATTCCCCAATCCTTTCCCACCCACACAGGCATCGCACGATTGGTACCAATTTTGCATGTCAGCCCTTGCTTTACTCAAGTAGAAGCGATCTCCAACTTTATGCAGTCTTCATTATTCCGAAGTGGCCTCTTGTCGGACTGCTATCCAGTTCTTTAAAGACTGCTATGCAATTGTTATCGACAGCCATCAGGATTGTCTGATTCGAAATCCCGGTGCAAGACGCCATTTCAGTATGGAGTGAGTCCCAGAGAGCCCGATATTTTTTTTGTAGAACTCTAGATCAAAATGTCTTGCTAGGTAGGTTTCATATCTGAAGACTCCAGGAAGAAGGTTTTAAAAATTAATAATATTGATTTAATGTGGCAAAATGGGCAAAATTTACAGCATAAGCAGCAGAAACTGTCCACATTTTTGATGCGTTAATCACAATCCTTCAATATTTGCACCTTGGTTGTATGATACACGTCTACATGGTAATCAAATTCTTCTCGTACTCAGTGTAGCATGCGCTCCGTAACCGTCTGCAGTGCATGCTTTATCCGACCACAAATTTCTTCAAGGACACAGGCATTGGCGGTACATAAATTCGGTCTTTAACAAACCTCCAAAGAAAGAAATCGTATGGTGTAATCGTTCAGCTAAGGTCACAGCCAGTTTCCAGCATGTCTAGAAATGAGTCACCGATCATAGCTTCATCTTCGAAGAAAAATGGACCGTGCTCTTTTTCATAGGACAGAAAACGTGAACAAAACTCCCGCTCTATTGAAACAAAGATCTGTACACTTCGAAACAAGGCACACAGAAAGCCCACTCCTGTTGTGCCGCCATCTTGGAAACTGACGCTGCGGTTGTGCAGTAAGGATGACAAGCACACAGCAAGTAGCATATGAGATAGTTGAATAGTTGCCAATAATTTAGGTGTAGGTTTTACATGGATAAGGTAATAACATCGATTTATTATTAATTTTTAAATCAACGCCATTCATTTATAAACACCACGTAGTTCGATAGCAAGTTAAGCTGGAATGCTCATGTAAATAAAGTTATCCCTAAGTTGAAAAGAATGCTAAATACTTTTAATTTCATTGCAAGCCCAAAGCGGGAGACAAAGAATGTCGACCTTGTCAAACGTGCCACTGTTACCACAAGAAGAACTGAATACGGAAGTTCTCTTCTTATGTCCACCTCACAAAAGAATTAAAAAAAAAAAAAAAAAAAAAAATAGAAACAGTCTGTAATCATGCCTTAAGACTAGCCATTGGGTCTTCGATTAGCACTCTTCTCCTACTGCTGTACGTATAAGTGAGAGTTTTAACGAAGCAACGAAGGATACAAATAGTAGGAATAAAATTCTTGACTAAAAATATTGCTATCTTTGGCGCTTCTCCTTGCAAATCGTCAACTTGCAAAACCATCTACAAAATTGCACTATCAGTGGGGCGGGTTTCGCAAGCTTATTAGCTAGTGTCTTCATGGACGAGATCATTAAACTTGAGACTGATTCTAACAACATTATCACTTTCACCAATGAGCAGGATTTCTCTGAAAATGCAAATTTCAATATAAAAATGAATAAGTTCCAGAACAACAAGATCCCAGAGGGGAGGTGCAGCGAAGATCAAGCCTCATAGTTGAAGAATATATGAAACGAAGGTGCAAAGGTTTCGCTACAGATGGCTTTCAAGTCTAACTGGTGTTGGAACAGCAGCAGTAGGCGCCGCTGTGATGGTCAGCCAGCGCATTGCTAGCAGAAACTCTATTTTCTCTGACGAAGCTTGGGCCCTCTACAAGCTTTTTGAAAATTTGAGCGTGAGTGAAAAGTCATCATTATCACGGATAATATGTCAGTAGCTAATACTATTAGTTATATTTATAAGAGTTTCAGTTGGTTCCTTATAAAGCTTTATGATCGGATGAAGGCTTTTTGCCATCTCACTGTCTTCTAGGTTCCGAGCCACATGGGTAGAAGACTAAAAGCAGGCAAAGCTGCAAGAAAGGATAATGTGCAGGTGTTTGATGATCTTTTAGTAGAAGATGCTTGTAGTTTCTTCACTAAAGCCATTGAGAAGGACTGGATTAGCAGCTGGTTGCTGTCCCATAAAGAGCGCAAATTCAGCTATTGTGATGAGTATAAAGAGTGGAGAAACGATTTTAGCATCAGTAGTTCCATGGAGGTAGTCATTAATAAACCGAAGCTGCAGTTGTTTGATACAAAAGTGCTCTCATGCAAATATTGGAGGACAGACTCATAATGCTGTGATAAAGAATATGTGATTGACTGCACTGAGCACACAATTATTCATTGTAAAATATATGATAGGGCTATAAGTACTATGCTGGAGAATATGGAATTGGGAAACACTCATCTTTTAACTAACCTCCTGATTCATTGTAATGAGAATCCTTGGAGATATCCTGGGCAAATTTATCACTAAATGCATTCTGAAGCATTCCTGAAAGGACTTAATTAAGGAAAAGAGCTAATTATTTGACTGATGTCTCCTCCGTAGTGGAGAGAATGCGTTCTTGTTTTTAAAATTGTAAGCAGCAGTGCGCATGCGTGGGAGTGGACGGCACCTGAAGAAAGCCAAGCTGCACAGAGAAGAAATAAGTGTGTGTTTAAACGGGAGGTTGGGTGAATTTTATGTCCGTTGAATTTCTTGAAGTGGATTGCGTAAAATGAAATACTATTTTGTGTTTTATTTACTAACAATTATTCAGTGCGCATCTTTAGATGACAAAGCATTGCTTAAAAGATTGGAGGTAAGTGAAAATATGTAATTTCTCTCTTGTATAATTTCTCATTTTATCCATTAAATTCAGGTAGTATTCGGTTGCAATGAAATTCATGAAAAATATATCACTGTAAAAATATTATCGTGATTGTCTTGAAAAGTTTTCGTAATTATTGTAAATTATTGTAAATGTTACAGTAATAGCGCATGTCAATTACAGAGGTATATGAAGTAACTTTCTTCTTATTTTACAATATGCCAAAGCAAAAATGCGTGGAAAACAAATCAAGACTCAATTTTTGCTAAAACCTTCAAACAGTTCTACGTTTGAACAGCGATTGTTTTAGAAAGTCCTCCACGAAGGCATGTCTCCCCTTAGGCAGACAACCCTCGAGGCTTTGCCATAATTGCATAAACCAAACTAAACATCAATTGCATAGATCCGTGATTTTGGCTTGATACACCTGTGTTATGGAGATGTGCAAAAATCACATCGCTTCAGATATATTTTGCTCCCTATTAGTTTCAAAATTTATACGTAAATTGATTGCAAAAAATCTGTAGCTTAATATTCATTTCATGTATCTAAACTTTTCATGAAATACCGAGTGATATTTATCTGGTTTTCTGTAATGTATTGTGTAAGAAATACTCAAAAGTTAGATTTTAAATTGTACTTTATTTTTCAAAATCGTGCTTCTTTAAAACTATAGTGACAAATACATTAAAATAAAGTTTTTTCTAACTTTAAATATTTTCTCGCAGTAGAAGTAGGTTTAAATTAATGGTCACTTATTATTAAAATTTAGGAATTAAAGCAGACAAGTTAAATAAAATTCTCACCGATTTCTAATAAGTGTTTTTACAGAGTTAAGAGTAAACTTGCGAGTGAAAGTAATGAGAAATCAGTTAAGAAAAATATGCTTGATTTACTAGCGCTTAAAAATCTTGAATATGGCATTGTTGAAATAATACTTAAGTCAGTACTTGTGTTTTAGACAGTAACTGCTAATACGTCACCAAAATTAAATTATGATTCCTGCAAGAAGTTTGTCAACCTCAGAAGCTTCCGTAGTTCTTTTTAGAAAGATGAAATTTTCCCCCCTTTTCATTCCTCGTTTTTCTTTCCCCAACACAGAGTAGGAATGGCCTTTCATTTTTATTTTAACTTCAGAACGATTAGAGCAAAAGCATATCTGTTTGTTTTATTTTCTGGTAACCTTTTTTCATCGGAAAGTGCTCAGGAAAACGTTTGGCTAATCTTTGGAATATGGTAACAGGTAGTTTGGCGACATTTTGGTAAGGCGATAAAGGTTACTAGTTAGAACATTAGCAGTGTACATGGATAAAGTCAAGAGTGTGCGCAATGCCATTTTTGTGCAATTCCGGGATGTTTTTTTAAGTGAAAATAGGTCGATGTGTACATGGATACCGTGTATGTGCAATTCTTAAAAAAGCGGCAAGCAGTTTGCGATTCTGGACTTTCTCCCAATTTCGCACCTAATCTTTGTCATGATTAAGCATTTTTGTTCCATAAAAGTTCTAGCATAAGCGTAGTTCGGCTAGCAGATTGTTAGAAAAAAAGGTACTTTTCCGTTTGGCCGGCGCAAATCTTGCCAAGCAGACTTTATTGGCGACAACATACAATATACACATAAAAAATATTTTTAAAAAATGTTAGTTCTAAGAATTCTTTTTTGAAGGCATAAACATTTTAATATCGCTTAAAATTTTATAAAAAGCCAATAAATAAAGACAATAAATTTGTAAAAAGGTATTAATTTAAGAATTTACTATGCTTTCATGGTTCAACATCCTGATTCGTGGGTTCGTATCACGTGACCCCAAGCGATCTCATCTCACGTAAACTACTCTACAAAAATCTAATGCTTTCAGTAATTATCTACATTAATTTCAAGTTAAATCTTAATTTGGAACGCAAGTTTAAATGCAAGAAATATTTCAATTCGTACGAATAGCTTACTCAGAAATTATGTAAAACCGCAGTGTTTTACTTCGCTAATGCATTCTCATTAGAATTGATGAATTTAACCCTTGACTTTACCTTTTCTATATTTTCGGCTTCGGGTAAGCGCTGTGATTGCATCCTGATTGACTTAATTACCGAAAATGGCCTTAGACATAAAACTGAACTATCTGATAAAAATTCTATGTAATTATATGCCACTATTGAAGAAACAATCAATCTGATAAGAAAAAGCTGCGACTTGTTTTGAAAATGAGGCGTAAAAGGTTACCAGCGAGAATATTCCGTTTGGCATCGGTTGTACCATTATTGGCGATTTTATCGCTTGCGCCGGCAAAACGGAAAAGTACCGAAAAAAAATGTTGAGTAAAAAAAAAAAAAGCCTTTACTTCAATCAATCTGATAAGAAAAAGCTGCGACTTGTTTTGAAAATGAGGCGTAAAAGGTTACCAACGAGAATATTCCGTTTGGCATCGGTTGTACCATTATTGGCGACTTTATCGCTTGCGCCGGCAAAACGGAAAAGTACCAAAAAAAAATGTTGAGGGAAAAAAAAAAAAAAAAAAAAAAAAAAAAGCCTTTACTTCGTGAAAACAAAATGGCTTCCAAACAAAAACTAGCAGGTTGCTGTAGCAGGGTTGGTCGCCAAATTTTCGCCAAAAAATCGCCAAGTTACCATAATTCAAAGATTAACCAAACGTTTTTTCGTTTCGTATGAATTTTTGCTGCGTTTTGCATCATGCATTTATTAGATTTTGAAGCAAAAGAATCCATTATTTCCGAGCTTATGGTATTTTACTCCCAAACGGCAGATTTTCGGTTCTCGTGCAGTGGTTCTAGTTTTCAGTTCTAGTACATGATGGAAGACACGATACAAACGCAATATCAACAACAGTCGACAAAGTGTTACAATAAGAATTAGAAAAAGATTCGGGGGAAATAACTTCGCTTTTTAGTTAGCAGAATTCTTGGCACTTTTCTGTCATCGGGACAGGACTCAGAAATGTATGTATAGATGCGCGTGTTCATGTATGCATGTACATACGTACCTATCTATGAATGTGTGTGTATACACAAATGCATTTACACACGTGGATATATACAGCCATTTCTGAATCTGGTTCCGATAACAGAAGAGCACCGAGTTCTTATTGACGGAGAGAAAAGTTGCTGATATTAACAATTTGATGCGGTATACGCTTACAGTTTAGTGTTTATGTGAATATTAACACATTTAAGTTTAAAATTTACATCAAAATTCATATTTTATGTATCAGTCTGGTATATACAAACTTTGGGTACTTCTGATTGTTCGCCGCCCGCCAAGAGTTGGGAATACTTTGGTGATTTTCGAGAGCATTCGCAAACTCGTTGGCGACTTTGGGCAGAAAAGTTTATTTGGATATTCCTTACGTGTGTTTCCACAGTGTATCCAGTGCTTCCTATTTTTTTACAATATTTTTCCATTAAGAACACGCACACTTTTATCACAAGTTAATTACATCAACTGGTAATTGTGTTTGGAGATAATCCCAGTTGTTCTTACAAAATTTCATCGATGGCGGTTTGGCCAACAACAGTGAAGAGGATACACCTTTCTTCAAATCAGTTCCTGATCTGCATTTTAACACTTTTTTTTTTCAGTTTCTAAAGTTGCATTTCAATTAAATTTGCCCTTTTAAAAAGTACAGCTTCATGGAATGTGATTTTTTGCGTTCTCTATTATTGGGCAAAATGTAGCATCTTGGAAGAAATTTAACGCTTTCTTTCTCATCAGCCGACAAACTTCACAATTACAAAACGACTTTTTACCACAAAAACAAGTGTGCTCTAAGTAGAAAGAAAGAAATAATAATGAGTAAAATGATCGCTGAATTTCAAAAGTACAAACCCATGTCTATTTTAATCACACGTATGATACGCGCATAAAATATTTCAATTGCATGGTTTCATCAGAACTTTTTTGTGATTCTTTGATGGGCTTGTGGGCAATCAGAAAGTGCCAAAAATCTGTCTTCAAAGTCTTCGAATGTGAGGTTATGGACTATGGACATAAACGGTTCAAATAATAAATCTGAAAAATTGCACCTTTCGTCAAAATAAATGCAAAAATAAGTAATTATTAACAAAGTAAATATAAAAACAAATTAAGTGCCATATTTATTAAACGGAAAATTTAATTGTGGCAAAGAGTTTTATTTTACATGATCTAAAACAAGTTATAAAGCCGCCGATGAAGGTCATTCCCTCTTTGGTCGATGACCTAGAGCGTTTTCTCTCAAGTGACTTTAGTGCATTGTCTTTAAAGAAAACCCCCTAACTTAAAAAGCTTACTAAAAATTGTACATCTCCTAACATTTTATAAGAAAAGGAACAGGTTATGTTATTTAGCGTGTTCTTTGCCAAATACAAGTATACTGTCTCCAAGCATGCTCGAATTACCACCTTCCTACTCCAAGCACTAGTTGACCTGAAATATATATGCTAATTTAAACACTTGGATTATTAGTAGAGCGTTAACATATCTGGGAACTTCAAAACAAATTATTTTAGCAAAAATGTAATAGATTTTAGAAAGTAAAGTTGTGAGGAATCCGTGCTAAATACTGAAGAATCTGTTTGTATGTATGGGTAATCAAAATGGAATCTATGTATGAATACTCTTCTGTTATCAAGACCGGATTCAGTATGAAAGAATATACGTGTTCATGTATGCATGTATATGTGTACGTACGTATGAATACGGTATACAGACACATACATACATTTCTGAATCCGGTCCCAATAACAGAAGAATACCTATGTTTGTTTTTCGCACTGTGGGAAAATGGCAGCACCTAGAACTCCCAGATTTTGAACACACATAATCCTCCATTCGAATATGTGCACTTCGAAGTCCACGTTTTGAATTCTTTTATTTACGTTTTGTGTGCACGTAATGAAATGTTGATCAACAAACTCAGCGATTTAAATTAAATATATTGCCACTGCCTGAAATAAAATATATTTTATCTCCCGAGCACCGTTCTGTTTACCGATCAGCAAAGCTTACGATATTTAATTTCTTTCAAACTGAATGTATGTTATTGACAAACTAAGCGATTTAAAGCAATACATGCAGTTCATCTCAATTATTATTAAGTAAAAGCAGGATCTGTGAAATTACATCAGCTGAACACATTAAAATCATTGTATATTTTGTTCTTCTCATTATAATTATTCAGATGTTTGGCCACTTAACATTTTACATATTCGCTGCTTGTGTTGCGATAGCTGAATTATATTGAACTTCTGATCATATGTGACCAATTTAACCATGCATCAACAGAGTATAGCCGGAGGTGCTGGAAATGCCATCTCATCATTACGGTATTTATTGCAATATTATACCGCTAAGTACATTGGTGATTACTATTGAAGATCTTTTTCTCATAAAGTACCCATATGTGCTTAGTATAAAGTACCTATATATAAAGAGAGGTCAATATGTCAACTAAGTATGCGTTTTTAGCTTTTCACAGGAAAGGGTCGTCTCAGTTAGCGACATGAATAACGAGAGGCAGCTTTAAAATTTTGGAAAAAACTGGACAGAAATGCAAAGCTAAAGAAAACTCAATCGGTTAAGCAACTAGCTAGTAATTAAGCAATGACATTTAAATTATATTTAATTAATAAAACAGAAGGATAAGTTTATGAAGTTTGAATGCACATTCAAGACTCTTTGAAAGCTTTTTTTTTATAGACTGCTACAGTTTGTGGGACTTGTCTGTGGGAAATATTGCCACAAATTTCATTGCAGTGAACCTACAAATTTTGCACAACGAGTTTTGTGCTGCAATACCTAGCTCAAAGCTCATCCATAATTCTTAGCTCTGACGAATTCCCCCCCCCCCGGGGGTCGACGTAGAGAACTCTGCGAAGCTACTGGCTAAGATCTGTACTTAGGCAGTCTGCATGTATTGCTTTAAATTTTCTCGGCCACGGGGGATAAAATTTATGAACTTGGTGGTTCTGAAGCCCCTGGGAAAGGTCACTTATTGACCGGCCTCAGGGACTGGCATTTCCTGAGCGGTGTGGAACCGTAGCCGGAGGGCTAGTTCCCCCCCGGTTTGCTGGGTAACGGCCCACTGCGACGGGCTCGCCCATGCGACTGGCAGGAGCATTTTGACGACCGGTGCTGCCTGGTGAGCTTTCCAGGTGGTGCGCTGCTCCCCTGGAAGAGTAATAATGGAGGTTGAACCTCCCCGAAGTGCCCAAAGAGGGAGTAGACCTGTAGTTTAAGTTCAAGAGGCAGGGAAGCCCAAAATTTGTTTTGTTTAGCTCTGATGAAACTGATTCATGCTGTAGTAAATAAAGATTCTTTAAGTGATGAGACCCATTAGTGGCAGAGTCACTTAACACCTTTATCACATCTAGCGATGGTCCCTGCTAGACGGGACTTTCCTGAGGAACGAGATTCATTAATTTCCATTTTGCTGGGCCCACCAGCGGCCGAGCGGTAAAGTCGCTGAACACTGGTAGTTCGGTTCGAGGTTCGAATCCCGCGAACGGGTTGGCTGCATGGGTGTTTTCGTGGTTTTCCCCATGTGTAACGTGTATACGAGCCAGTTTCCCTTAGAAAGTCCTCCACGAAGGAATCCCTTTCTTTAGGCAGATAGCCCTAGTGTGCTTTGCCGTAATTAAATACACCACACCATTTTTGCTGGTGCAGGTGATAAATTCGCCAAAAATGGTACAACCGATGCCAAACTTAATATACTCGCTGGTAACCTTTTACGCCTCAATTTTCAAAACAAGTCGCAGCCATTTCTTATCAGATTGTTTCTTTCAATACTGGCATAAAATTACATAGAAATTTTACTAGATAGTTCAATTTTATGCCCTAAGGTCATTCGCCGTATTCAAGTCAATTCGGATGCAATCATACAGCTCACCCAAAGGCGAAAATATAGAAAAGGGAAAGTCAAGAGTTAAATTCATCCATTCTAATGCGAATGCACTAGCGAAGTAAAGCACTGCGGTTTTACGTGATTTCTGAGTAAGCTATTCGTACGAATTGAAATAATTCTTGCATTTAAACTTATATTCCAGATGAAGATTTAACTTAAAATTAATGTAGATAATTACTGAGAGAATTAGATTTTTGTAACGCAATTTACGTGAGATGAGATCACTTGGGGTCAAGTGATATGAACCGGCGAATCAGGATGTTGAACCATGAAAGCATAGTAAATTCTTAAATTAACGTCTTTTTAAAAATTTATTGTCTTTATTTATTGGCTTTTTACAAAATTTTAAACGATATTAAAATAAAAAAAAATTTAATATCGTTTAAAATTTATATGATTAAAATCATATAAACAAAATTTTAAATGTCTTTAAAATTAAAAAATCTTAGAACTAACATTCGTTAACATGTTTTATTTGTGTATATTGTATGTTGTCGCCAATAAAGACTGCTTGGCGAGATTTGCGCCGGCAAAACGGAAAAGTACTTGAGATTTCTGGTAGCACTTGTTTAAACCGGAGGATTCCTAGAAAGGAAAGGGCCCCGCTAGAAGCGAAGTCCCGCCGAGCTACGGAAACGATGCACAGGCTACGCGGGATTTTTTTTAATCCTCCCTGAAAATGCTTCGGATGTAGCTCTGTTCCGTGTAGAGAACAACCAATTAGAGGAAAGTTCTGCTTCTGAAGGATCACGTGATCTCAATCTGAACGATAATTGATTACTGTTTGGCGTTCAAGTCTTTATAGTAAGCGATAATGGTAACCTTAGCTACGTGGGTTTCCTGGATATGTTCGGGTTCTGAGAATTCCTCCTTTCGACGTCCAATCCCGCGTAGCGGAAACATAATGTGATAGGGGTTTAAGACCTCTGAACGCTATGGAATTTCGACCGTCGGCGAATAGGCTGCCTGGATGGGAGATTTCGCGGTTCCTCATGCGTAAGATGAATACAAGGAAGTTTTTCTAAAAAAAGCCTTTACCAAGGCTTAAGTACATGGTTCATATATTTTTACAGTTTTCAATCATATAAGCTCTTCATGAAGTAGGATCGGCATCACTGCCTGTTGATGTTTGGGGTTTTCAAATTAAAAGGTAAAGAAACTTTAAAGAGTGGAGAAAAAGAAAATGAAGCTTTGTTGGTTTTTACTGCATAAAAAAATTTCGGATATAGACTTATCTGGATCAAGTATAAAAGCAAAAAGTAGACAGGCCATATTATGAGGGCTAGCGGGGTAGAGAAAGCTGGTAAGCAACAAAAATTAATAAAATGAATTCAACTTTGTCTTAATCTTTCTCTGCAGTTGCCAAATTGTATAAAGAAATATCAGCTTGAAAGAAAAAAACAGCTACCAGAAATTATTTTCAAAGTATAAATGACCACTTATATGGATAACATTCTTTCTCCATCTCCGATGTGCTTTCCTTCTTTAACTCGGCATGGATTAATCGTAATTCAGAATTACATGCATGCTGAACTCAAAAGTTGAAAAAGCGGAACAGGTAGTCTTACAGAAATAGCAAAAATAATGAGTTACATTTTATCTATCAAGTAAGATAAAGACAAATTTGTAATAAAATTATACGTATTTATAATTCATTTTTAGATTTTTTATTTACAAAATTTGTGAATTAAACTAATAATAGCATTTCACTAATTTTAGAATGAACTCAAATTGATTATTACTTGCAAATAAATTTTAAGAAAGTATTTTATCGAACTAAGAAATGAAATCATATCAAACTTAACATTTTTCAGGAAAGCAGAAACCATGAAAGTAGAAGTAACAATTGCTTCAGTTCTAACGGTAAGTTTTATTGTAATAATACGAGTTTATTTGATTAACGGCAAAGCACTCGAACCTACCTGTCTAAGGGGAAAGGATGCATTTGGGGAGGAATTTGTAAGGGAAACTGGCTTGGATACACGCTACGCGTGGGGAGAATCACAAAAACGGCCATGCGGCTAGTCCATTCGCGGTATTCGAACTTCGGGCCGAACTACCAGTGTTCAGCGACTTTACCACTCGGCCGCTGATGGGCCTCCAATTCGGTGAAGAGATCGTGATCCGATGAAAAGGGAAATATCAAAGTAGCTTAACTTCAGTTTTCTGCTATTTGCATTTTTATTGTTTATTTAAAATATAACACAATATTTTATCTAAGTAAAATACTTTGAAAAACAGATAAGCAATAAGAAATGTTCGATTAGCGAAATAATCACTTGCAAGTAGAAAAGTAATTTAATTACATTTAATAACATGAATTAGTTTATAGGCAATTCTGAAAAATTTCGCTTCTTAAAAAACAAAATATGTTCCACAAAAGCCTATGATATCGGCAGGAAAAGAATATTGCATTATCTGATGTAACTAAATGGTATTTAAATATTTCTATAGCTTTTTGTATAAACTTCCTTCCGAATTTACCAGGCTCATGCATCGTAACAATCGTTTTTCATCGTTGTTTTAATGTTTGAAGTTGAACAAAATCCCCCCCCCCTTTTTTTTCGTCATATTCACCATACCTTTGTGTACTAACCTCTAGCTTTTAGATATCTTCGATCTAAGAAACCTACTTTTATTCCGTTACTATGATGATTCCTGGTCTTAAGGCAAAATTCTTGATTTCACAGGAATAACGTCAGACCACGGCAATAAAGTACAGAGGCACACATTTGTATACAAGGAGTTTTTCTCGTTTCATATGTTCTCATTGATTTCAGGCATGCTTTTAATGTCTTTCAAACTAGACCAGTCAGTAGCAGAGTTTTAAGCACCCCTAAATTCTGGCAATCCAATCCAGATTTGAACCCACCCGAAAAAGATGGCTACGTAGTTGGTTTCCCATATGTAACGTGAATATGAACCAGCTCCTCTTAGAAAATATTCTAGGAAGGCATTCTTCCCCAGATAGCTCCCGTGTGCTTTGCTATATTGATGTAACCTAAGCTTTTTCAAGTCGGCTGTTAATTGATGCGAAACCCATTTCTACTTCGTTTCGGAACGCCAAGTTAATCTTGCTAGAAATCATTCCCCAACAGAGAGGCAGCGGCCGAGCGGTAAAGACACTGAACACTGGTAGTTCGGTCCGAGGTTCGAATCCCGCGAACGGGCTGGCTGCATGGGCGTTTTTGTGGTTTTCCTCATGTGCAACATATATACGAGCCAGTTTCCCTTAGAAAGTCCTCCACGAAGGCATCCCTCCCTTTAGGCAGATAGCCCTCGTGTGCTTTGCCATAACTGAGTAACTAACCCAATCCAACAAAGAGGCATCATCCTGTGACATTTCAAACATGTCACACTGTCACATTTGCAACATCACATCCACGTCATGTAGCATCGTAATGACGTTGTAGGTATGTCTTTTTGTCACGTCATCCCGCAAACGGGCTGGCTGCATGGGCGTTTTCGTGGTTTTCCCCATGTGTAACGTGTATACGAGCCAATTTCCCTTAGAAAGTCCTCCACGAAGGCATCCCTCCCCTTAGGCAGATAGCCCTCGAGGCTTTGCCATAATCACACACACACACACACACACACACACACACACACACACACACACACACACACACTTTTTGTCACGTCATGTTGTGGTAACGTCCCACTGCGATATTTATGTGAAGTTAACTCTTATTGTGATGCTATGAAGTTACACTGCGGCATTACTGTGAAGTCACATTACAACGTTGTTGTAAGGTCAAGTTACAACATTGTTAGGAAATCGCACTTAGACATTAATGTAATGTTAGAATTCTGACGATAATTCCCCCACTAGTGGCGGTCACTGAACATTATTGGTTCGGTTCGAGGTTTGGAATTTTGGCGACCGAGCTGGCTGCATTGCCTTTTCGTGGTTTTCTTACCTCATGTATAATGTGTATACGTTGCAGTTACTCTTATAAAGTCCTCCATGAAGGTATTCCTTCCCTTAGGTAGATAATCCGCGCATGTTTAGCCAAAATTAAATAAACCAAACCAAACCTGACCACATCTAAATTCATCAATCTCTATGAAAATGATACGCCGATCTGTTCGAATTATAGTGATTTTAGGGTTACGGAAAATCCCATCGATTTTTGCCTATTAAAGGAAAGACGCCAAATTACGCGATTTTTCGGCAAACATGGAAAAGTCTTCAAACACGCTGGGTTGGGCGAACCTTGATTACACGTGTTATTTAGTAAATGGGCTTTTTGATTTGGCCTTGTGGTCGACGGGATTTTCCGTAAGTACCAATTTTAGAATTATACTGAACTTCCGGTTGTGAACCATGAATGTTTTCAAATTTTATCAAAAACTAACAAAGTAGAATTTTAAATTTTTAACGGTATCAGAGATTCTAATTCTCTAATCCTTGATAATTTTATATAGGAGGTATAGGGGAATTCGAATTTCGCCCATTTGAAGTAACTGCCGAGGTAAGAGGAAGTTATACGAAATGGATGGATTGTGTTTTAACAAACATCACTCAGATTTAGGCAGTATACATTATTTTCTCGAACACAGCCGTTTCTACAAAATCTGCCAAAAGCTTCATAACATTAATATTCATAATCGAGCTACTATAGCTAAGCCTCTGAAAATTTATATATATACAAAATATACATTGTTCAACAATGAGTCTGCTCACTCTCATTTCCATTTCTGAGGAAATTTACGTATATAGAAAGAAGTGTATAATTTGAAATGCTTCGTGTCTAAAATGAAACATGGAAGTGGTCTAAATTGCATTATTATGGAATTTTCTGGAGAACACTAATTTTTTTTTTTTTTTGATGGTCAACAGTCAAAGACCACCAGTGCATTCTAAGAAATCGTATTTCGAATGATTTCCGAATTTTAAGTATGAAAGGCTCACCGGCCGAGCGGTTAGTCACTGAACACTGGTAGTTCTGTCCGAGGTTTGAATCCCGCGAACGGACTGGCTACATGGGTGTTTTCGTGCTCTTCCTCATGTGTAACGTGTATGCGAGCCAGTTTCCTTTAGAAAGTCCTCCACGAAGGTTATCCCTAGATAACCCTCGAGGCTTTGCCGTAATCACATAAGCAATCAAGTATGAAACTGCATCAGTTCACATAGCGAAACTAGTCACAGAAGAGTTCAAACGAATGAAAGTGGACTTGAAAATCTTCTATACCTAGTACAGTCCTATGGTTTGGTTTATTTGATTACGGCAAAGCCTCGAGGGCTATTTGCTTAAAGAAAAGGAATGCTATCGTGGAGGTCTTTCTAAGGTAAACTGGCTCGTATACACGTTACACATGGGTGAAAACTACGAAACGCCCATGCAGCCAGTCCGTTCGCGGGATTCGAACCTCAGACCGAACTACCAGTGTTCAGCGACTTTATCGCCCGGCCGCTAGTGGGCCGTCATAATCTTATGATCTCAATAATGATCATTAAACTTCCCTAGTGTAACCTAGAAGATAGAATAAAAGTTTTATTCTTCTTCCATCTTGAAGTTAAATAGAAACTGTTTTGCCAGAGGAATAGCTAAAAATTATATAAATGATGATTTAACATTTTCCTAAGGAGAATCGCACACTTTTTGCTTCCAAAAGAACTCACACCATGTTAAAACGTTACCTTCCAGGTATGGAAATTTCAGTTTCGTTGTTATAATTCCTATATGCAATTTATAGTTTTTATTTTCAATAACGAATACTTCAATGAGTTTTAATTATGCGGTTTTGTGCTCTTTAAAACAGCTTTCGCTAATCTTTTCACATTACTTACAGTGATAGTCGTTCCATAAGTGACCAGAACTTAGAGATGGCTAAATCCTGGTAGTTCATGCTGGGTGTGAACTAGGGTTGCTAGCTATTCTTTTTTTTTTTTTTTTTGAAAAGAGGGTACTTTAAGCAGCTTTCCAGCCTTTGTCCTTTTTGAGTTAAAAAAAAAGCCAGATGTCCTTTATTTTTAAATTAAATATCTCTTGGAGGTCAATGATGGCATTTGGCGAAAACCTTTCCCATCTTATGCTTCATTAAGCTCAAATTCTTACGTAATTATTCTCAAAAAGTTTCTTTGAGTTTATCTAATGTATTTAGAAACCTGTGCTCAATTAGCAACATGGTCTGTACAAGTACAGTGCTGTTGTGTGTTATGCAATTTGTGATCTTTCATACGTTTTAAAGTCTGGCTTTTCGGACAGCTTTACGGTAGATGTTTCTTATTCGCATGGGCAAGGTGCCTCCCATTATTTGACAAGCTGTCAGTTCTCATCCTTCTTTAGGAGGCGACCCGCAGCTCAGGACTATCCAGGCTCAAGGCAATCAGGCTAACCCACTGAGGCTATTTCAGTTATGGTAGCAAATGCCAACAAAGGTAATCTAGCTAGTAACTCGTGGATAAGTCCAAAGTTACTGCTTAGCAGCCACTTAAGGTTTCTCTTTCAGTCTCCATATAGAATATGCATTGTTTGCATTTACTTGTTTCGTTCTCATGCTTTTAAAATATGCTTGGCTGTATATAATATTCATTTTTTTAAATTTGGAACAGCATTTTTAATTTGCTAAATCTTCATACACATACTTTCTGAGTTCATCATAGCACATTTAATTAAATGCTGTTATCTCCATAAGTAAGTTATGCAGCCGACAATAAAAAAAAGGACCAAGTTAGTAAGATCGCATAATGAAAACTGCAAAAATATATAAATGGTTACAGGCAACTATTAATCCTCAGAAGCAAACTGTGCTGTTTGTCAAAGCGTTTTTAAAAGCGGGTATATGAGTGTTCAGGATTGTAGGAACATCTGGATTGTTAGAATAATAAAAGCAATGAGTTATCATCTAGCTCTTTTATTGATAAATTTATCTTAAAAGGAAATTCTGAAGGTCTATAGTTGCTTCCGAAATAGCTCAAATATACCATATAGCTACATACAATCATCCCTTAAACTCACATGACCGCAGATTAAAATTAAATAAAAAAATTACGTAGATTCAAAAACAGCTAAAAATATCTTGCAACAGAGCAAAATCTGAAGCAGTGGTTACAAATGGGCTTGATAAAAAGGCGTTAAGAGTTGGGATGAATTGAAAAATTATGATCCACCTCTGCAGTTTTTTCTTCAAATTAAAAAACTAATAATAAAGAAAGTTAAAATGTTTCCAATGTATTTTAATACGAACTGTGCTGCAGTAAAATTACGTAACTGACTTTCTTGAGAATCCAGATGCAAGTGCAGATCGTATGTTCCAGTACTTGAAAAATACTATAAACAATTTGCAATTAGAACGGGAAAGAAGATTTATTTTACTGCAGATAATATAAACTGCAAATTCGGAATAAGGTATTCATTATATACTAACGTCCTTACAATAAATGAAGGTGTTGTTAAAGGAAATTACAATATTCACATAGTATACAATACAGAAAATCTGCTATGGGAACTTTAATGTGGGCTTAGAAAATATTGTTCTAAATATCTACGGTCATTTTTCAATGTCAGCAAAGAGACGTGAAATATTTAAGGCATTTTATTTACACTTACTGCCAAAAGTCTGCGTACACGTGACCGATTTTCAGTATTTAGGAAGCGAACAGTAAGTAAACCGAGTCTATCAGAATCAATAAATCTTTTAGTGATTCGTCAAATGTCTTTAAATTCAAATGGTGCAAGCAACAATCACTTGATCGTTACATAAGGTAATACAAATAATAATAACTTGGGAATGACACCAATCGTGGGTGTTAAATGTCTGCATGCACTGTCAAGAACGTTTACGATAATTGATTGTAACAAAAATTTAATACCTTGTAGAGTATACTTTTTTCCTATTATCTCTCTTAACTTATTTCGAATGGATTCAACTATGATCTGATCATATTTGGAATGGATAACCTATGATTAATAATGTGCCATATATAACCTAATCATCTGAGGTTATTTTGTTCTAATCTTATATACTGTGACAGATTCGAGCAGCTCTTTGGATGTTATTTTCTGATTCTCCGTTCGAGTAAACTATACAAGTGCTCTGCTAGGGTTTAGGTATAGGTATTGGGAGTAGTGTAGTTAATTTAATTTAGCATATGTTAGTTAATTTAGCACGTGGTACAGCAGACATAGTCTCACATTGTACGCCGTGTGCTTGGAAGTTATTGTTCTGAGGAAAAACAGAAATCTTCAGCCACTTAAACATTCCGGTGCTCGCCCCCTCGGCTTTATTTTTAGTATGTTCAAGCAATTAATGTGATTCATTCGTTGAACCCAATAAACTCCAAATTACAAACTCCACTGCGTCCTACGCACCACCAAACCGCAATGTCTCTTCCTCCAATTTTGACCCGTTGGAACAAAGCTCTGTACAGGTTTTCTTCCAGACATATTTTCGTTCTTTGATGGCAGAATTGCAAACATTTACTTTCATCCGAAAATATTATTTTTCAAAAATTGTCTCATTTAGGTTTTCCTTCTCAAAGCTCATTAGCAGTATTTACTCGAGAGATGAATGGCTTCTTCCTTGCAATCTGGGCATGTAGCTCGATTCCTTTTATATCGTGGTTAAACTGGCATTTTTTTTTTTTTTTTTTGGTATCACTCAGAAGACTTTTAGCTCTTTTTGAAGCTGATAGTCTTGGATTTATTTTTACAGAACGGATTACAAAGCGAGATTTCGGAGGCGACAATGCAGACGGGCGATTAGGTCTTGTTTGGGACCTTGAACGTCTGGCTCAGTTGTAGTTTGATAACTTTTTAAATCGATGAACGTTTCCTGCTAACTATTTCAGCAATTCCTCTGAGAGAACTTTCCCTTTTCTATTAATCTACGATGAACTTTCTTTCAGCAACATTGATCTGTTTTCTTTTACTTGCCATGAAATCACACAACCACTCAAAATCTCGATTTCTATTTAAATCTTAGAAGATTACAGTTACTGGATAAAAACACGGAGCGATTATCTAACAAGGAAGGGTCTTCAGATGCCCTCTTTTTTTAAATTTACGCTAACGTTTGACAGGAATGACTGGCAATCGTGTGATGATGATTCTTATTTTTTCATGTAAACGTAGTTTTTTTTTTTTGCTTGAACCAGGTAAGCCTGAAGAATTAGTGAAAGGTGTGTGCTAATTTTACCACGCGATATTTCAACAGTGATCTTAGCACGAACACACGAAATATTAGATGTTATGTAGGCGCATTAGGAACAGTTATTCTATCTGATGCTGTAAACTTTAACAAACATTTGAATCAAGATAGTAAACATGCATTACTTCCAGTAGGAATCAATATTTTCAAAATAATCAGAGTTTCAAACACGTATTTTAAGTTAGCACAGAATAAAATGTTGTTGTACAGTTTATGTGGTGTTGTTTTGAAGCTGTGGAGTGCGTAGTAAAATAACTAAAACATAAGTTTTAAAGCTAAATGTCACACATTTAATTACCTTTTTTTTCTAATTTCGCAGTTACTGTGAGGCTTGCAGATCCGAGCAAAGACCATACTAACAACGGAGTTGTTGAAGTATTCCTCCCTGATGGACAAGCACGATCTGTATGTTACCCAACGGACCATTACGAGCACAAACAAGTTGCAATTCTATCTCATATAATATGCCGTCAACTGGGCTTCGTAACGTTCGGTTCCAGGTATAAACAGTCTTACCCTGTTGGTCACGAACCTCTTGGTTTGATACCTTCCAACTGGCAATGCATCGGCCATGAACAGTCAGTATCACAGTGCACTTGGAAAGGCACTGATATATTTCGCTGCCGAAATATTCTAGGAATTCATTGTAGTTGTAAGTATTCCACTTCAATCTATTAACTACAACAATTCGACTTCTTACAGGATTAACTGGTTATCCAATTCTTTCCATTGTTCAAAAACTGCGCCTACTGAGTCCTTACAGAAAGTTGCCTGTTTACCTTGCATATAATCCATTTCCATCTTTTCGTATGTTTAAAAGCATTTATGAAGCTTTAACACCATATAACTGCTATGCGAAACTGCACAGTAGCTGTTAGTTACGTGTTATTTAGAAAAAAACATTTAAAATAGTGCATCGTTGTTACGAACAGAGTCATCACGCTATTAGCAGTCATTAATCCTCTTAACGTCTCCTTTAAATATTACAGCATACCAAATGTCAACAACCTTTCTTCCCTTCAACATTTATTTTATGTTTTAGTGATAAAATGGCAGACAAAATGATTCCAGGAAATATAGAAGACTCAATAAACAGGTTTACTAACCATCAGACTGTTATGAATCTTCTATATAGCTCCATTAGCAAAGTAATACTTCTTTACTTTCAGATGCTACTGTATACTTTCCGAACAAAGCTATGGTATGATAATCTTAGAGAGCTGCAGAGGTAAACCTACGTAAAATTATCATCTCTTTCTATTGAAATACAAGTCGTAGAGTGGTGGAGCTAGATGGCAACTTTAGAGACATCTTATTTATAAATACAATCGAAATATATTTAGTGATGTATTAACTGTTTAGTTTCAATTTTTTGGCTGACCAACAGCCAAATAACTAAAGCCACAAAAAACGAGTAATTCGCACTAATTCTTCTCCTAGCAGTCGAATGGCTAAACTTCCTAAGATTTTCCTTTATCCTCATGTAAAATTTTAATAATGCGGTGCATTATGAAATATTAGAAAGTCCTCCGCAAAGACAAAGCTCTCCTTCGGCAAGTAGCACTCAAATACTCTGCTGTAATATAAATAATCCAGTCCCTTAAGAAATGTTCCTTAATTCTCGTGAGGAAGATGTACCTCTAGTGCCTTTCCTAATCAATTACTCCGATTCAATCAGTTAATAAAATTGGTGGTACTGTTGTGTTATCTGGAACGGATTCAGAAATGTATGTATGTGTATACATGCACATACATTTGTACTTACATACGTACATCCATACATGAGCACATGCATACATACATTTCTGAACTCGGTCCTGATAACAGAACAGTAGCAAATTGACTCCATAAATAAAAATTATTTCTATGCATGTACACTCTACTCAAGAAAGGATAGTTCTATATCTCCCGTTCTACTAGGCCGACTGAAGAAATTTAATTTGCATTTTTCATGTTTTGAAAGCGTGACTTAGGATAGATCTATATATAGCATTGTTCTAACATAGGTATTTTGACGCAAAGTCGTACCTTTTTTGAAATGACGAACCCATTTTTTTCGATATTTTGATTCTACAACCAAAATATGCCTAAATATTAAATTTTGTAAAATTTGGTGAGAAACTTACCCAAATTCTTCTTGGCGTATTTTGTTCAATTTGCGTCAAGAATAATTCATTTCGCTAAGTTCTTAATTTATGGTAACCTGTTTTTATTTCCCTTTCATTGCGTACGATTGGGAAAAAAATGCATCATTAGGTCTTTCAGAATAATTTTGGCATTTCCAGAAATACATCTAATTTAAGGTGAAGGAAAGAATTTCAGAAGTTACAATCCAAACGTTTTCTCGAAAAATATATAAAAATTACTAAATACAAATTTTAAAAGTAAATCAGAAAATATCTGCGAATTGTATTTGGATTGAGCCGAAATTTCGAATTGTGAAAAAAGGAATGAAGTTTAATAAAAAAAATTTAATATATGCCAAATTCAATTAAGATTGAGAAGTTAAAACTACTCGGACGATTTTTACAAATCTTTGCACTTCATGCAGAGTGCACGTACTTAGTGAAGCTGCGTCTTCCTCAGCGTGATTATTTTCGAAGCGGGTTTGAACAAAACTATTGTAATGTTATCAAGATGAGGGTTCACTGTATTATAACAGCTTTTACTTACTTAGCTTTTGGATTTAACTGAAATTTAATTTTTTTAACAGCTTGTTCTAGAATTCTGCAAGCTACTGATGGAGTTATTGGAAATCCTGGCTATCCACATGCTTACATGCACGGAATTCTTTGCGAGTGGATTGTGATTGTACCGGATGGTCACACCATTAAGTTGACATTCTTAAAATTCGATTTACCCGATGGAGATAATTTGTCTCCTAACTGCGCACCTAACGAGGCATATATTGAAATTACCTATGGAAAGCAGGTAAGATTTCTGTTTTCCTTTGCAAATATTTTCAGATAAAGAATGTTGAGAAGAATAAATGAATTATAATTTTCCGGAAGAGGGAAAATATAACTATACATTATACTTAAAAATTATGATTTTCAGCGATATCCTTTATGGTAAAGGTTCAGTAAATCTGTTTTAACTGAAGAGGTTAGGATGGTAAAATTTATAGGAAGAGAAGAGAAGCTTTAAAATTAGACTTAACTGTTGTGCATGAAAGGAGTGGATTATGTTCAGCAACAACAGTTAATCATACCAGACTCTACCTGTATGCTGCAATTGCCAGTTTGGATTTCTGTAATCCTGTTATGGTTATCTTCACTCATTTCTATACTGTAAGATTGCCTAATTCATCTGGCTACATTTATATGTCACTGGACAATCTCTGATAGTTAGTCATTTGTATGCATGCATTCACTAAGAACTTTTATTAACTGCGTATAAGTTAATTCACTGTTTAGGAAGACTGAGCAGCAGATGGACTTACAACATGAAAGCAAAAATATCTGGCACTTGATAACAAATCTGATTACTACGCATTATGGCAACCACCTTAGTAGAAATCACCAAAGCTTCAGAATACACCAAACTCTGGTAACCGCGCGCATAACAATTACTCAGGCATCCATGTGCATAACAAATATTCAGTTGCCAGTGCTGCCAAATTCGTATGCATTCTTTTCATAGAAAAAATATTTTTTGGCTTAAACTCAATTTAAAATTTTGTGCTTGCAGGATTTTCGTATAATAGAAGAAAGAGGTGAACTTTCGTCACATTGTTTTTCTGCAAATCGCTAAACGAACATTGTTTCAAATTTCTTCTCAAAACAGCTTGAAACTAGGTTTACTGATGGTCTTTTGGAGTAAATAAGCATTTGAAACATAGAATGTGTACATAATAATATGTATGTATGCAATATGTAATTTTTTACAATAAATGCTCTTTTTTCTCTCCAGAAAATTTGCCAAACTGCCGCAGAGTAGTTGTGATAATACGTAAATGCCCAAATTTGAAACGTGGTTGACAAAAAATATTTTATTTTTCAGCTATATATTTGTTCATTTTCTGGACATTCTGGAAGCATAAGCATTTGCATATATTTGCTTATGCTTCCAGTCGTATTTAACCCAAACTATTTTCCTTATTCAATTTAAAAATTTCAATGTGAATATCAACTAGTTTCCCTTAAAACGCTCTTCATGAAGATATCCTCCCTTCGGCAGTGACCTCTCTACTACTTTGCTTTAAATGACTAAATAATCCATTTAAAAGATAATACTCAGCATAAATTCTTAACAGCTTTCCTTTAACATCCGAAAACAATTTATAATTTACGAATAAGTTGTTACTCATTCAGTACAAAATTGGAATTAAACTCTCATGTGCAAAATATTCATAAGAAAAAAAGACATGGAAAATTTGTATTAGAAATGGTACAACATAACGCATCTTTTCAAAAATCAATATGTATTTTCAGTACTTTTGTGAGTGTAAAATATGGTAAAATCTTGACAAACAAATGCGTAAGATTAACTGCTAATGGCCAAGTGGTCAAAACTCGAAAGCAATATTAATACTTCAAGTGCGGTTCTTGGCAGTTGGATATACATACTGCGTATAGCTTTTGCGGTCTTTCTCTGCATAAATTAAATACGGACTAATATCCTTTAAAAAATTCTCAACGAAGGTACACTTTTTCATAGACACTTAGCCCTAGTTTTCTTTGTCGTGTTCAAATAACCCAGTCCAATCCACGAACAAATATATACAGTGGGTACAAAAAATATTTGCACACATACATTTTTGTTCACAATTTATAAGAAAATGCATTAAGAAATACAAAAATTGACATTTAATCTATTATTTGACAGTCATTCCGCAGTAAATAACATACGCAAGACTCGAAACGTTATCAGTTGATTGTGGATTTCAAATTGTAATGGCACCTAAGAAATCTGAATTGCCAATTTCGTTGCGAGAAAAAATTGTTTCTCTACGTGTAAATGGCCTAAGTTATCGAGAAATAGGTAAAAAAGTAAATGTTTGCTTCTGTACTGTTTGGTGTGTTATAAAACGTCATAAAGGAAGAGGATCTACATCAAATAACTTGCGCTCTGGACGCCCAAAGAAATTTTCACTGCGAATGAAGCGAAAAATCATAAGAAAAGCATCGAAAAATCCATTTGTTAGTGCAATTACTTTAGCCAATGATGTCGCTTCAACATCTGGAGTTCAAATCTGTGCCCAAAGTGTTCGAAATGTCCTGCCCGATGCACACTTTTATGGGAGATCTCCAAGGAAAAAATCTCGCATAACTGAACGAAAGAGACTGAAGAGACTTGAATTCGCTAAGGAATATATCAATAAGCCAATTGATTTCTGGAAAAATGTCATATTATCCGACGAGAGTAAGTTCAATATCTTTAAATCAGATGGCAGGAAATTAGTTTGGAGAAAACCTCGTACTGCTTTTCATACCAAAAATGTGTTACCTACAGTTAAACATGGAGGAGGTTCTGTTATGATTTGGGGGTGCATGGCTAGCAAAGGAGTTGGTAATTTGTGTTTTATTGATGGAAATATGACAGCTCGAACCTATATTGATGTGTTGCGAGATAACTTGCTACAAAGTGCAATAAAATTGGGTATCAGTAATTCGTACTATTTTCAGCAAGATAATGATCCCAAGCACACTGCCGGTATAACACGTATGTGGTTGCTTTATATGTACCCAGAAAACTTGCCACTCCACCACAATCACCAGACTTAAATCCTTTGGAAAATTTGTGGAATTCTTTGGATTTAAAAATAAGAAAAAGAAAGATTTCAAGCAAATCTGCCCTTAAACAAGCCCTTATTGAAGAGTGATTGAATACTGAGCCTACTGTTACAGAAAATTTAATTAAATCAATGCCAGCAAGATTACAAGCAGTAATAGATGCTAAAGGAATGCATACTATATATTAGTTATTTGAAATTTGCTTATGTATTTTATTTCTTTTGTATTCATGCAGGTGTGCAAATACGTTTTTGATACGAGATATTTTAATTTTGCTACAAAAAAGCATTGTATTTATATTATTCTAATTTTTCTGTTTGTTTTGGATGATTAAACTTATTCTGATTTGGCAATACCAATTTTTTATTTCTTAATGCTTCTTTTTATGAATTGCAAACAAAAATGTAGGTGTGCAAATACTTTTTTTACCCACAGTAACTATGAGATGGTTTATCAGTCAGCACACGTTTTTAGACAACCGATTATATGAAGCTTCTGTTGGTAGTTTTCTGTGAAGGGAACCCCGTTTATCACCGAACATAAACGTTGGCGTGAAATCTAACAAGATGGCGGCAAATGCTTCATGAAAAGAATGGCTGTTTTATTAAATCCAGACAGAATTAGAAAAGTAAAAACATTTTATTGCATTTATTTGCGTCTTTTCATGCAATTGTCGTTAACTGAATTCGAAGAATGTTCCACCATTTTGCCCATGGCATCCTAACAAGATCAATAATTTTGTATTTGTGGTTAACTTTCAGATTTTCATATTCGGCAGAAGTGGATTCATTTGCTCAAAAAACTGAAAATTTTGATGAGAAAATTCCTAGATTGCTATGATTATTTGGATTTATTTGCAATGATGTCATTGCATAGCTATTCATCATCCGATATAAGCAGGCTAACGCATTTGGCGCTTTGGTGCACATTTGGCAACTAGAACCCCGTTAACAGAATTTGTTTTGTGAACTATATATAATTTACATACACCTCCAGATATTTATTTGAAGAGATATAAAATTGGCAAGACTTTTTCTGGGACCATAGTCTTAGATAAACTAGCCAATAGATTTAGTTTAATAAATTACTATTATTTCAGTTGGTGACATTTGGCTGTGTTTCGCCAAATATTTTCTCCAAAGTCGCCTAACAAATTAATATTTACTATAAGTTTTGCTGAAATAAATGCTGATAAATTTTTAATTCTATATACATTTTTCTTTTCAGAATAGTTACACTATCAACCGGTACTGCAACTTGAAACAAGTGAGGGAGCTTAGTCTGCCTGTACGAAAAATAAGAGTAAGATTTTATTCTGGAGTTTTTGATGGTGATACTGATTATGAAAGAAAAAATTACGGCTTTGCTTTTGCTTTCCAGGGTAAGTTAAAAATTTCTCGATTTTAAATAAAATTGTATATTAAGCAGAATGCTCGTTGTGAATGTTGAACACTTTCCGTATCTAAATCGTTGTGGTTTGTTTAACCTACGCTATTAGATTACCCTTGAAAAGCAATACTTGTAATCCAAAGTATCTGGTCATAAGGAAAGTTTTCCGCCAAAAACGTTCTTAATAAAGTTAAAAAAATTAAATGCTTTGGTGCGAATAGTAATCACTAGCAAAATCTATGATTTTCTGCCAACGTTTTAGGAGTGTGTGAAAGTCTTCGGCACAGAAACTTGGTGGCCGCGAGTCCGAAAACAGATCAGCATCATTTCGGACGTCCTATGCAGAATGGAAGATAGCACCAACAAGATTTAGCTGCAGGTGTAAAAAAAAAAGGTAGGAGTCCTAAGGAGCGATGTCGGAGCTATATGGTGGGTGTGCCAGAAGATCCTATTCGAGTCCGTATAGAGCTCAGATAGTGAATGCAGACACATGTGGTCTTGCATTATTTCGATGGAACATTACCTTTTAACGTCGGAACTCAGTTTGAAGTTTTTCCTTGGCAGTAGCGTCAACACGGACTAGCATCTCGCTGTACACCTTACTGTCGAGGGTTTTAACTTTTTACAGACATTCTTTGTGGATAATACCATGGCAATCCCACTAGATGCAAAACATGATCTTTTTGTTAGTCAAATTCCGCTTTGCGATGCTGCCGATGGGCGCACCGGGCGCAGACCAACCTCCTTTTCGGCCTGTGTTGTTAAAGTAAACCCGCGTTTCATCGCAAGTGACGATCCGGTGCAGAATTCTATCCTTGTGTTGATATTCAAGCAGATTAGTGCAAGCCTGAAAACCTATTACTTTGTACTTATCTGCATGAGTTAGCTCATGCGGCATCCAGCGATTGAACTTGAAGATGCATAGTGCGACTAATGGACATGGCACTAACGTCTAAGTCCTTAGCGAGCTCGCTGATGGCATACTGATTTTACATCAGTTCTTGCAGGCGGGCCTCATCAACATCAATAGGCCGGCTAAAGCTCTCTGCTTCTTGAATGTCATAGTTGACAAACCTTCACAGCGTCATATGATACAACACTAGTATACTAGAGGGTAAATTTATGCCTTAAGTGTGATACTGCTGGTGGCTGCATTCATTTTATTGAAAGTTATACACTCACCGGGGGGGGTAAGAGCCTTACATGGAATCGGAAGTGTAAGAGAAATGATTCAAAATTATAAAAAAGGACTAAAATTTGCACAAGACATTATGAAAGTCATCAATTCTCATAAACATGTCATCGGTATCTCTGATTGATCGAGCTAACATACTGAAAGCGTTCAATTTATGGAAACTACAACCCTTAAAGGGAGAGAAAGACTTTATATACGCAAAGGTGCAGGGACAGCTTGAAAAGTTTTTTTTGTGTTTTTATGTGCCGTGTTATTATTTTAGTATACTAACTCTAATTTTCTTTTCTTTCTGTTAAGCTGCTAAATTGATTTTTTTTTTTTTTTTTTGGACACGGCTGGCTCGTGTCGTTTGTTGTTGGAAGGGTTGCGCCCGCTTTTCTTCATAAGGTTCAACAAACCAGGCGGAAGGGCTGCGCCCGTATAAAACAAAACAAAACAACACTAGTACCTAAAGCTGTATACATGACGTGGTGACATTCTGTAGCTGACGTTTTGCAACACAACTGGAAGTAAATGATGTTTCCAATCTGGTAACGTGATAGTTCCATTTTAGATTGCTTGTACTAATGATAAAACGATATTTTTTTACAAATTTCACAGAACATTGTTCTAAAGCAAGCCTTTTTCTTTCAAATGCCAAAAATAGTTTGACAAAATATTATTAAACACGCCAAAACGAAACTGAACAGACGATATTTGCGGTGGTGGGAAACTTTCGTTAAAACCCGAAATTTTCCTATCATATTGGTTGCTTCATCGGTCGTAATATTATATTTGTTCATTATAGATTCTTTCAAAACCAGGAATTCATAGAAAATATGACATCCCGTTTAGTCCCCTTTAATGACCTCATGCATGCCAGTTCGTAAGTAATTTCAAAGCTCTCATCGACACTCTTATAAACAATACTTGTTCAGCAGCAAATTGTCCCGCGAGCCGTAGTTTGCCCCTCCTTGGATTAGTGTATTGGATGAGTAAAGAATGGGAAGACTTTACATCAGCCATTTAAGTACAACAGAGTAGAGACTCTGTTCGAAAGTATTTGATCTAGTCTGTACGGTTAAGTGTAGATGGATTCCCCGGCAATTAATGGAAGGGCTAAAAATTAAGCGTGATAACATCACTTGACCTTTTAATATTATGCGGAACATGTTGAAATGTTTTTAGAATCTTTTGTCCTGCAAATAAAACCGAATTGATAACCCTGAAGCACCTTAGATCACCTGTTACCTAAACATTCGGAACAAGACAAGTTCAGAAAAGCATAGAGCAACAGAGTATGGAATACTTTTGGTGGAGTATACTCCTCGCTGAGCAACATTTAATGCAGCTTCCTATTAGTGCATCCCAAAACACCTTATAACTTTTTTATCACAACAGAATCGCTTTACTTCTGAGCCTATACTTATGCATGATATCGCAAGGTCACGTAGAAGTCGTGATAAAAGAAAATCCCTTTTCGACTCCTGCCCAAAGTATTTATCTGGTTCCTTTAGACTTTCATTTATTCTCCAAACTTAGAGTGCATATTCGAGGACAATAGTTTCTTCTCGTATGATGATATTTTGGAAGCCACCATAGATTGATTTCATGGACGCATCCGTCTTGCAGCCAAGGTTTTGATTCCTTTATCTAGAGGTGTGATAAATGTCTCAAAAAACAAAGTTATGACACGGTAAAATAAGGTTAAAATACATGCTACACTTTCTTTTGTTTTTAAAATTTGTAAAATAAAAATGGAAGCTTTGCTTTTTGATACCCTGTCGAGCTCATGTATAGTACTTGATTTCATAACATGTTAATGGTAGAAAACTCAACTCCCCCCCTTTTTTTTACAAGCAGCAATACCCGAAGATACGTCATCTATGCAACCTCTGAAGACCATTATCATTGCGGCTGTCGTCATGCTGGTCTTCACTTCTGTGGCTTTAACTTGCTGTTGGTAAGTAACTGCTGTTGCAAATAAATAATAATGCTACTAAAAGTTTGGAACTTTCTGATTATCCGCACCCCACCAAAAGTCACGATCTCTTTGGCGACCAGTTTTATGCTACGGAAAATTTTTCAAGATGGCGGTGAACTAGAACCATGACAAAGCATTTAATCTATAACAAGAAAATATCGGTAATAAAAAGAAACCTTTTCGAACTGCGCTATTGTTCTACGTATGCAGCGATCAGTTTTAGCTAAACAAAACATCGGGCAATTTCACAAGTTTGGCATCTGTACGAAGTTTGGCATTGCTCACCCGCCAAAATAGATATGTGTACACGCAAACCTGAGTTGTCCACATGAATACTTTTTGGTAATATCGTGGGTTATCGATTAACTATTTTGGGGACATACAGTTTCGCGTTAAAATACTTTTGCGACTTTTTGGCTGAGAGTGAGGATTATCAGGAAGCATTAAAAGTTTTCAATAATGAAATGCACTTTTCTGCATTGGCCTTTAAATGTATTGGTATATAAAGTAATTGGTAACTTTATCCGGTTGCTACTATAAACATTTTTATCAAATACAAAAACTGCAAAATTTGTTGAAATCTATTTCTAGACATTATCCTTCCAAAAGAAAATTAAATTAAAATTAACTAAATATAAAGAGTAATTTTATTTATTTTGCAACCATCCCATTAGAAGATTCAAGCCAAGCAACTATTTAATTTTACAAATATAAGTATATATGTGAGTCTGTTCTTTATTAACTTTTTTTAATCCCGTGATCTATCAGTAATATTTTCATGGATGGGAACTTCTTGCAACTTTAACTCAATATCTTCATATATGCTGCCGTCATAATAAAGGACTTGTATTTAAAGTTTTTAGTTCTGGAAAGCTAAATAATTTATTCTCGTTATGACAGTTATGAAGTTGAATCTGTTCACACATTTTAATACTGTATGTCAGTAGTAAAACATACCATAAGCTTTTAATTTATAAACATTTTGAGCTGCTAAGGAAATGGAGGCTCTTGACTTAACACGAAACAGAAAGTATAAAAGTGCGTGAGGGTTTCTGATTTAAGGGAAAAAATATGATATATTTAGTGGTCAAGGAAGTATTAAAAGTATTAATGATATACAGTGTCTAATCAGCTTTTCTTTTAAATAATTCTGCAGTCGTCGATGGGGCAGGCGTAATAATGAGCAACCTCATTTAGTACGAGTCAGACCCTTGCCGAACGCTCCAGGTCGAGAAGAGCTTGAAGCAGCATACAACTTCCAACGATGTAATATTCGAAAACCAGAGGAAAAACATCTGAGTCAAGTAAGTTTAATAATCGAATATTTTTAATTTGCGCATATATATATATATGAATTCTAATATTGCAAAATTATACAAATATCCATACGTTGAAAAAAGTAAAATTCGATGCAAAAAAACCCAACGTAAATCGACGTTGGTTTTACTTCAACCAAAGTGCTTTACGCGATTCAACACTATCGTCGTCCTCAGCCGCAACTAAATAAAAGGCATCTTTTATTTAGCTTCAGTTGAAGAAGACGATAGTTTTGAATTACTTAGAGCATTCCTATTAGAATAAAATCGTCAGATGCGCCACCTTAGGAATTTTGCTTCAAAATTGGTACAAAACCAAAACTAGACAAAGTCGTACTGAAATATATTATTCATTAATTAAAAATAAAGTTATTTTAGTAGAAATACTTTCAGCGAGTCAGCCCTATCGTCGTCTTCAGCTTCAACTAACTGAATCATGGTTTTATTTGATTGCAGCTGAAGAAAACGATGCTGTTGAAAGCACTTCTGCTAAAATAAAATACTTCAGATCTGTCTTCTGCAAATTTTAGTTCAAAATTATGACATAGCTGGGTAAATTCGTACAGTCACTTATGAGGTGCCTAGGGCCCATGCGGACGACCTGCGCAAATCCTGTACTCTTGATCTCAATGAAATTCATGGACTTTTTCCTGATGTTACTAGTTAGACATGGGAAATAAATCACAAAAATATGCTTTCCTGAATGACAATATTCAGAGACTCCGGTGGGAAAGAAGGGGCGGGGAAGATAAGGGTCTTATATTTTGCACGCTGGCAACACTTGCTAAGAGCTATACTACTGAATTTTCCCCGTTTTTCCGGGGTATCAATTCCCAGGTTAATGTCAATTAATTTTTATTTTATAATCTCTCAGCTTAATTAAGATTTGAAGTAAAATTCAAGGGCAACTGACATGTTTCACATCTTCAAGGAGTAAAACAGTATGAACTCCCTTCTCGAAGACCAAATGCATAGGTTTCGAGCAGTAAAGCCACTGAATTTTGCTAGTTTGACTAGGCTTTAATTATGGGAGAACAATTGGCCTGCATATTTTCGTGATTTCGGCATATGTAACTTGAATACGAGCAAATATCTCTAAAATATCCTTCATGAAGGCATTCCTAAGCGTGCTTCGCTACAATTTAAATAATCTTAATCCCCAGGCGCATAAGTTTTGTCTCCATAAAAGAGTATTTACGTCAATTAGCTTGAGCTCGATGGAATTCCTTAAAATCTATCTAAATGTGAAATCACGATGCAATATGTGAAATGCTTGCAGACAAGATAAAAATATAATTCAATCTCTGTACGTACGGGCAGAATAAAGGACTTTTTTTTTTTACAAAACAGATTGTAAAATGGATTCAGAAGAGCTTCGTGACATCTGTACGTACGTATGCATTTCCCATAACTCAAGAAACGAATAGTCTTAAAAAAGGTTGAAATTTTATATATGGAACTGCTATAATATGCAGTTGTGTACGTACCATTTTTATTGCAATCGGATTCACCAAACATATATATATAACCGCTCTATTATCTGACTCGGGGAGTCCAATTTTTTAAATTTTATATGTTGGTAAATTGCGCATTTTGTGCTTAAAAAGTGTTTGAATTATGTTGTTCTTATGTTTCAGTGAAGTTTTTGTGACTTTAGTTAATAAATACGTTATAGTTGTATCAACAATTTAAAAGTTTAAATATCGCTAAGCTTAACGAGGCTGCAATTTGTTTACATTTGAAACTCTTAGTAGAATAGTGAATTAAGTCAAATTGGTGCAATTAACATTACAGTATTTCTTTCCAGTGGGACCAAAAATTAACTTTCAATTCAATTTTGAGCACTGAAAATTTTGTCTTCCTTCCCGCTGGCCGAATTGCTTGGTTTTTGCGTAGAAACTCTAATTTTAAGTGTAAAAATTGTTGTTTTTAAATTTTTTTTAACTGTATTTGGTATTTTAAGTTTTTCTGTATTTTACAATTTTTTAATGAAGATTGAGTTCTCATGCATTTTCTCCTTGCCGCGAAGTGAGAACTGAATTGATTGAATTAGAAACATATCTCTAATGAAATTCGAGGAAATAAGTTTAAATGAAGTGCAGCAAAAAATGTACTCGTATATAATTTAATAGGCCGTACAAAGTAGTCATGTGATGCCCATACCAGCTATTTTTATCTTTCTGTGGAAAATATAGAGCCTTTTCCTTTACCTCAACAGCTCCTTGAGCATCTTGTCGTCCTCGACATGAATAAACGTTGCAGTTCCTATATCGCTGCCATGTTTGGTCATGTTCCTTTCTTATAGACCGGATTTTTCTTGCAAGACGCCTGTCCACTGAACATTTCTGACTTCTCTTCAGTTTTTAAACAAAATGCCTTTTTATCCTTTTGATTTCTTATTTGGATAGTTGTGTTCACTTGTACTATGTTTTCACATCTTTGGGATCTTATGGAATTATATGGGTCGAAGTGAAACTCTTCTGCACAATGTTATGTTAGAAAAGCACTACTCCTTAAATTCTACACAACAGTACAGCATAACCATGTATAAAAGTTTATTTTTTTTTTCGCTCGAGCTTTGAATTTCAAAGTAGATCTCAGGACAGATTTAAGCCTTTTGTAACTGGCAAACTATCATCAATTACGAAGTGTGCAAACTTGTATAATAGAAATAGTTGTAACTATTGTGTTTAAACTTGTGTAATAAAGTGTAATAGAACGTTTTGAAGTGTATTCGATGACATTTTGCAAATTCATATTTTCGAAATGTTTTGAATTTCTGAAATAATTTTAAATCATATTTCCTAGGCGGAAAATATCGTCCCTGCAATGTCTGATAATAAATACGCTTTGTCGAGTGATATTTATACACATCCCGCCTCTTTAGCTCCGCTGAGAAAAGGTAAGTTTTTCAATGGCATTTAAAAAAATAGAGCAATAGTGAAACTTTTTTCAAATTAATTTGGGAAATGAGCTAAATTTTTTTAAAACTTCACATTATCTATTTTCTAAAGCTGGTTACACATAGTACTTTCAGATGTTCTTGATTTATAAACTTTAAAAAGAAAAAAGTAAAGTTTTAGGTTACTCGTCAATTGTGCGCAGTTGTGAGATAATATGAAAATTTTAGCAAAGGGTTCGCCTTCTAAAAACAAAATATTAAATTCCATTTTTTTACTCTTAAAACCAAAAAAACTGATAATTATCCGAGATAAAATAGAATTTAAAAATAAATAATCTTTTAAAATTAAAAGAATTAGAAAAATCACAGTACGGAAATTAATTAAAATAACGAATAAATTTAAGTTTGCGGTAAAATATAAACCAAAAACATGTTTTTTATTTTTTTACCTCAGTAACTCTTCTGGAATGTACTAATGGCAAGCGGTAATTTTTTTAAAGTTTAATTATGGTTAAGTATTAAATTTTCTGAAAGGTTGTTACATATAAGGAACTTATCATTAAATGAGAAATATATGTAGAATCAAAGATCTTCTGACTGTGGATCTTCTCCCTGCAAGTTACATCCTGCGTCATTCAGTCAGTTACTTCCCCTTCCTGCTAATTACTTCCAGTTCTGATCCCCGCCAGTGGCAGAGCAGCAAAGTTGCTGAACACTGGTAGTTCGGTCCGAGGTTCGAATCCCGTGAACAGGCTGGCTGCGGGGCTTTTCCATGGTTTTCTCCATGTGTAACGGTATACGAGACAGTTTCTCTTAGAAAATCCTCCACGAAGGCATCCCTTCCCTTAGGCAGGTAGCTCTCGAGGCTTTGCCGTAATCACATAAAAACTTCCAGTTCCACTAATTAGTCAAACCCCGCTGTCACGAGCGTGAAGGGAACGACAATTTGATTCGTTATATGTGATAAGAAGACATTAAACATTTCACAAAACAGCTTAAAAATTGATTTGAGAATTGCCATCATCCAAAAGAAGTTAATGATTATTCTTAGGTTAAAAAAACGCATCAAGGATTAATTACCATTATTATCACATGAAGTTATTAAATTTCTTTTTTCTTGTCTTTCGGTTTCACCATACGTTAATAATTTTACATGATGCAAAGAAACTAATAAGAATAAAAAAATTCCATTTCGTAAAGGAGGAATTACCTGTATAACTTCAAGTGTGTATGAATCCTCTCTACTTTCCCTTTTTCTGAATAGCAAAAATTTCAAAATTTCCATCGTAGTGTTAACTTTGAACAGATCACTGTTTAACATCTCAATAAAGGAACTTAAATGGAATCAAAGAACCGATTCAAATTCTTTGACTCATTCGATCAGTGATTCTTTGACTCAGCGTGATGCAATAGGATCTTTTAAGGTATGTTTATTACGTGCATTGAGTTTTCTAAGAACTGTCTGATACACCTGCCTAGATAGCCTTTTTAGGGCAGCGATCTCCAAAAATTTTAGATTGCGTACCCCTAAGACGAAAACAACTGTAAATTACACTCCACATAATATAATGAAATGCAATGTAATATAATACAATATACACTCATGCCCATAAATTAAGGATAATTCGGAGTCACGCGGAAATCGAACTCTAAAATAAATATATCACCTGTAAAATCACTACACACATCTTCAAGAATCATATGCAAATTTCAGGAAGTAACCAGATGACACCGATGGTACGTCACAATGACGAGAGTGTAAGAGAGTGATATATAAGGAATACAGGCAAAGAAGTAAAATTGTTCGCAGGCTCTTTATAACAATTTCAGTGCAATAACTGAATAGTTATGACACAAAAGACTCATTTGGATGATTTTTTACGTGGTAGAATTATCGGCCGTCTGAAATGTGGGCGTACCCAACTGGAAGTATCAGAAGAACTTGGAATTGCCCAGAGTGTCATCTCCAGGCTTTGGCAACGATTCCAAGATGATGGTAATGTGAGTAGACGTTACAGCACAGGTCACACCAGAGTTACAACGCCGAATGAGGACCGGTATTTGGCAGTTACTGCCAAAAGAAACAGGCGGAGCACAGCCTCAGACCTGTCTCGCCAGCTCTCCTTAGCCACTGGTACGACAATTTCAAGGCAGACCGTGTACAGACGCTTAGGGCAGATTGGTCTATATGCTCGTAGACCTGTCAGATGCGTTCTACTTACTGCAACTCACTGTCGCCTGCGGTTAGCCAGGAGAAGAGAGCATGCATTGTGGACACCGCAACAGTAGACTTCCGACGAGTCCAGGTTTAGCTTGCAGTCTGATTCTCGCTGTACTTCTGCTTCGCCGCTCCAGGTACCCGTTACCACCAAGAAAACATAATTGAACGACACCGTTACGGTGGTGCAGGAGTGCTCGTTTGGGGTGGAATTATTCTGGGTTCCAGAATTTAACCTGCATGTTCAAATTGGAACCATGACAAGCCAAATCTATCGGGACGTCATTCTGGAACAACAGGTACGTTTGTTTCGGGATGCCATGGGCGTACAAGTTGTGTTTATGGATCACAACGCCCGTCCTCACCGAGCAAACATCGTAAGCGAATGCCTTCAATCGGAGGATATCACCCGTATGGACTGGCCAGCATTCTCACCGGACTTGAATCCAGTAGTGCACGTGTGGGACATGCTTGGCCGCCGAGTTGCAGCCCGTCAACCTCCTCCTACATGTCTACCGGAACTTCGGAGAGCATTGCTTTTTGAGTGGTGTAATATCCCCCTAAGATCAGATAGATAATTTGATACTCAGCATGCCTAGGCGTTGTACGGACTGTATTGCGTCTTCTGGGAGACATACAATGTATTAACAATCATACCAACCATGTAATATTGGTTTTCTGTAAATAGGTTTCTTTTTTTGTAATTTGATCCAGGAAGGAAAAATCGCTATTTGTTTTAATAATATCAAACATATAGCATCTTTTTTTACTCTTTACCTTTTGTTTAATAAAATAAGCTTTACAAATAAGTCAAATTTGTTTTGCTTCTAACTCTTCCTTTGCCTGATTTTACATTATCCTTAATTTATGGACATGAGTGTAGTACGCATGCGCTTTAAAGCTGGTGAACTTATGATGTTGAGCACCTCGGATGCTATTGAAACCAGACACGGCAACCAATGACAGATGCTCGCACTCACCTGATTCACGATCACACATTAGCAAGTAACTGTGAGCCTACTTATTTGGGTTATCCCCAAGTGTCACTTCGCTTTGGAGATCACAAAGGTGAGGTGAAGTTAAAAGAACAGTGAAGTAAAGGTGTTTTCATTATCCCAGTAGCCTAAACATGGGAGAGTTATTAATTATTAAGGATTAGTATTTTTTGCAGTTGAGAACTGTTTATATTATGGATAAACGTTATCAAAATGCAGAAAATTTTCAGTCGAAGATATCCACAAAACTCATTACATTGGATTTAAATATATTTGGATTTCCTATAGCCGTGTAAAATAACATTAAGTATATAAGAAATTGGACAGGACCAAAAAATTCGTTTACTATATCCAACGGGGATGCATTATAAACCGGATTCGCTGCAGTGGGATTTGATTGCACTTGCTGCGTCCTTCAATAACTTTCGCTTCTGCTAATAACTTCTTGCGTCATTCTGTTAACTTCTGCTTCTGCTAATTACTTCTTGCGACATTCAGTTAACTTCTGCTAATTACTTCTTACGTCATTCAGTTAACTTCTGCTAATTACTTCTTGAGTATTTTAGTTTAGATTCAATGACATAATGAATGAATTTAAATTTTTAGATAATTCATTAGCAACTTACAAGCATCTTTTAATAGGAAACCAAATTAAAGGCTATCTTTTTTTTTGTCTTGCTCTTAAACAGTTTGATACTTAGAAATAAATTTGTTGATAACACTATATTTTCCAGTACCTGTTTAAATTTTAGATCATCTAAAATGTGTTTGACTGAACTTAAACGAAACCTGACGAGACCTGAATTCTCAGAAAGCGAAAAACCAATGCAAGTCAAAATATTATGACAGAGAAGACCTGAGTCATCTTGGGATAAACACATTAACATACAACAAAAAGAACAAGGTACTCAACAATTCAAGACAAATTTAGCAAAAGGTTCCTGCGAGCTCGCTGGAGCTGATCTCTGGTTCTATGTTTGTTTGACTTAAATATTTATTATAATAACTTAGGACTGCTTGTAAAATATTTACAATTCATTTAGATGTTTAAAAACTGACATATAAATAAGATTTAAATTAATAATTTTAGATATAAAGTTTTAAAAGTACTACAATTACACACAATGTTCACAAAAAAGTCCTTAATTTCTCGACCATTTTTTGTTGATCGTAGATATACGTAGGTAAATTGAAAAATAAGTTTCCCCTGTCGACTGTGGTCAGAGTTGTGTATGAAAGTCAAAAAATAGAATGAGACATTAAAGGTATGACATACCTTTATTTTATTATTCTCGTACGAGTACGTTGAGACATTTGTTATATCGCTTGATAAGCTTCAAAAAGTCCTCCAAGAAAAATTCACGCTTTGCATATAGAAGAAGCGTTAAACGGCTATGGGCGAAAGGCGACACAACAGGAAAACGCGCAAGTCACCGATACACCATTGGGTAGAGGTTGCTGCAAATCAAGCAGATGGCGCTGTTGCAGTGCCTGCGCAAAGCGGAGACCAGCCTCTTATTTGAGCCCCGGTAGGTATGGAGAGAAGGTGCGTTTTGAATTCGTGGTCAAAGGAGGAAGTGAGAGCGGTTATCCGCTATGAGTGGGCACGTAGAGTATCAGGAACAGAAATTCATAACCGCCTCGTGGAAGTCTATGGGCCAGGTGGGATGTCGAAGCAAATGGTGCGGAGATGGTGTCGCACATTCAGTGATGGACGTCAGCAAGTGGAGGACATACCGAGAGCTGGACGGACGCGCACGGCCACTACAGATGCAAATGTCAGGAAGGTGGATGACATGATTAGAGCGAACCGGCGTATCACCATCGATGAAGTAGCGGAAGAACTTGGAATCTCACATGAGCGAGCTCAAAACATCATCCACGACATTCTTCGATACAGAAAAGTGTCAGCACGATGGGTGCCCCGACAATTGACCTCGACACACAAGGAAACAACGCATGGGTGTCAGCCTGGAACATCTCGTGCGTTACCATGAAGATGGCAATGACTTTCTGTTTCAGATTGTGACGGGGGATGAAACGTGGGTCCACCATTTCACGCCAGAATCGAAGGCCGCATCTATGGAGTAGAAACATCCGTCATCACCTGTCCGAAAGAAGTTCAAGACAACTCCATCTGCAGGTAGTGCTCCTCACAGTTTTCTGGGACGCCCAAGGAGTTTTGTTGCTGGACTTTTTGGAGGTTGGAACCATCAATGCTACGCGCTACTGTGACACCCTGTCGAAATTGAAAGAGGCGATTCGGAAAAAGCGGCCTGGCCTTCTCACATCTGGGGCTCTGCTGTTGGATGACAATGCCAGACCACATTCGGCGACGGCAACGCAAAACCATATTGCAACTCTTGGTTGGGAGCGCCTACATCATCCGCCATACAGTCCTGATCTCGCACCAAGCGACTTCCATCTGTTTCCGGCTTTGAAGAAAAATCTCGGGGGAAGGCGCTTTGGAAGCAATACTGAAGTGAAACAAGCCGTTCAACGCTTCTTCCATATGCAAAGCCTTGATTTTTTCCTGGAGGGCTTTTTGAAGTTTATCAAGCGATATGACAAATGTCTCAATGTACTTGGTACCTATGTGGAAAAATAAAGGTATGTCATATCTTTAATGCCTCATTCTATTTTTTGACTTTCATACACAACTCTGACCACAGTCGACAGGGGAAACTTATTTTTCAACTTACCCTCGTATAATTCCAGTTCAAATGCTTTATAAGAATCGATTCTCGTTTCATAAGAATTATGAAATCTAACTTTATATATATAATCAGAAAAATTTTGTGCTTGTTATAAAAATAAAATACAAAATATTTGACACCGTACAACACAAATTTACTGAAGTATTTAATTTTAAAGTTGGAGATCATATTCAAGGGCGGTGCACAAACTGAAGAGCGAAATGTTTGGATTTGTACGTAACGAGAAACAGAACATTAGCTTAGAAAAAGGATTAAATGATGAGTATTTCTATACAGATAATTTGGAAAAAGTGTCCACTCGTCCTCATCTTTATAATAAAGAAGCCTTGAGATGTATTTATAAAAAGTAAACAAAACGCTCGACTCGGTTTGTTTTCCTTGACTTTAAAATTTTTGGATATTTGACGTCATTTTCCATTTGCCTTTAGGGGTCGCTGAAAAAATAAATTAGAATTATTTGAGATTGAATTTTCCCCTTATGTGACATTCATTGATATTCTTTTGTAATTCCTTAATTTAAAACTTTTTTTTTACAACTGATATGCTGAAAGAATTTTGGCACACGTAATTATGTTTTCAAATGTTTAAAATATATTAATGATATGAAGTTTTGTTGCTTTAGAATCCTAATTTAAATATCACACAGAAATCCATTAAACTAGAAAAGTTATTCATTTATGTATATAATGTTACGAATTGGCTATATACCAATGTTGAGTCCTGCCAACTGTGAATAGGATGTCCTTTTCGATAAACTTTATATTGAAAATTACTTTTTAGAACAATTTTCATAGAATTTTCTAAACTGATATTTTTAGTTACGTATAAATAAAAATATTTGGTTCTGTTCATGTTCCGTTCCTGAATATTATCTCCAACTTTAAAATGAAACAGGCCGGCTATTATTTGTCATACGGTAGTCAAACCTCCTGTATTTTTTATGTGAATAACAACTTTCCTGAATATAAATATAAGAACTGGAATAACATATAAAAGTTATATTTTGTAATTTTTGCAAAACTGATATTTTTAAAATTATTAACATGAATATTTGAGCTATTTAAAACATTTTTATGACTGAAAGTATATGTCTAGGAACAATGCTTGAAAAATAAAGGCCTATTAAAGACATCTCTGGACATGTGTATATACAGGATCTGTCAATGAAGCTGGAGATTTTAAAGGAGAGTCCAATAGTTCATTTTCTGCTCGCGACGGGGCTTAGAGGTCTTGGATTATTGTTTGATATTAAATGCCATTTGTCCGGTTTCCAGCGTGTTTTCTGTGTAAAATCATTTTATAAAAATGGTGACTGTGCGATTTTAATCGATACTGGAATAATGAAAACCCAGGTCAGTTGCATAGTCCGAAAATTCTGTGTTGTGTGCAGTTTCCTCATTTTGTGTTATTGGGCCTTATTGTTTTCCAAGACTATAGAGGAAACGCCACAACTGTTAATGCAGACCGCTGCACACATATAGTCAGAATAATTTTAATCCAAAATTTCCTTTAGTTTGCGGAAATTAATTTTTCCTATCAGGATGGGGATTACAAGTTGTACTGCTCGCGGGTTCGTGGCTGTTTTAAGTGAACTCTTCCCAGATGGACTCATACATAAACGTGGCGATATCTCGTGACCTGCGAGATCCTTAGATCTGCGCGCAGCGACTTTTTCTCTTTTGAGATTTATGAAGAGCAGGATTTACATTGATAGCCCACAAACCATACCAGAACTAAAAACGAATATCGGTCAAAAAATTGCGTGGATTCAACCTGACCTGCTAATCGAGTGATGGAAAATTTTCAGTCAAGATTTGAACAATGTTTACACAAAAATGACTCTCAGCTGAGGGGAGTTATTTTTAAAAAGTAAAATGGCATACGTTACTACACTCAAATCTGCAAAAAAAGTTCTGATAACAAATGTTTCACGAAGAAATTGGATACTTTTGAAATTTCCCGCTTCACTTTGTACAATTATGATTAAAAGGCATCGGGAACCATTCATTTAAAATACGCAAATATAAAGAATGCTTCCCCAAGTTTTTAATATGTTGTTACGACTTTCATTGACATCCCGTAATAATCCATGTTTCGTTTCATTTTTTGTAACTTTGTATGCTTATAATATAGAAATTTCCCAAAACGGCGACTATCATTTAGCAAAGAACGAGGATTACATTTTATTTTTGCAATGGAGGTTCTGCTACAAAACCATACGACATGTAAACTATTTAACAAAACTAATCAAAAATAGAAGTTTTTGAGTTGTATTAAATTTTTAAAGAAAGATAATGCGATAAAGATAAACCACTTTCTGATAAATTACCAACTGTAACTAGTGAGCAACAAGCTGGTCAAGTCAAAGATTTGATGCTTAGTAATCGTCATTTTTAAGAATTGTAAGTATTATTAAATACATTCATTTTTACCTTTTGGATGCTGCAAAGTAATTCGAGAAGTTAACTTTCGTGGCGCATTGTTTCATCAGTCAAGTTCTCTAAAAACGTTAAAGTTGTACCCAAAAATAGCAAATGAGCTCCAGTGTACTCCAGTGAGCTCCATGCGATGCCTTATCAAGATGAGTATCTTTTAAAACGTAATATTATGTGTGATAAAATGTACACATACGCTTGTGATACAGAAAGAGGTCCAACAATCAGCTGAAAAAACATGCCATATTCTATCAAAACTCAAAGAAATATTGGCTCTTCCACGATTTTTGCGGTGTTGTTCAGCATAGAGTTTTGGAAATTGGCCAAATTAATAATAAAAGTATTATCTGACTGTTTTTGTTACAATTGTTTTAAATTTGTAAAGAATTACCCTAATTACCGTGAGATAATTTATGAAGTTTGCACGACGATGGTGCAGCAGTTCAGAGTGTTGCTGATCGTGACATTTTGGCCAAACTTCAACAGATACGGTTCCACAAGCTCCATATTAACTTGTTATGGTATTGTATGACCTTTTTATTTAAAACTCCCGCTTCGCGGTCACTAGTTGTAATATACTAATACAATAAAATATTCACTGCGAGGACTGAAGAGGTTTCACGGAAATGATTTTAAAATATGTTTCGAGGCTTTTATAAAACCTTGGCACAGTAGTCTGGGAGATATAACTTTCAAAGGGGTATAGTAATAAATATTGACCATCAGATTAAATCTTATGTTTTAGGGAGTAATTATCAATACCATTTGAATATAATCGATACAGGTTTTTCTGGACGTAAGCCCCATTCTCTGAGCACGTTTAACGTAGGGTAAGGAGGTATATTTGTTGAGAAAAATACAGGTATATTCGGCTAAGGATTTTGATTAATTCTGACTTTATAAGCACGTAATTTCGTCATTAGACCATCAGCATTTCTATAGCACTTTCAACAAATAGAAATATGTGATCATTCCCTAAGTATATAATGCTCTATATAATTTTCAATCTTATGTTTAGGACTACGAGAGATACGTATTTCACAGTCAGCTACACCTCGTCTGCCGAAGCTCCATTGCGCGAGAGGAATAGGTCAACAGCAACCAGATACATCAACCGTAAGCAGGCTGAGGACCAAACTCTTGGCCAAATTTTCCACGTCTAGCAAAAAAGGTTCAAATTCCTCTTCGTTGTCTGACGTTTCGGTCTTCATGCCAATCGCCGTTGGTCCCAGCTTCGAGATTTACAGGAGTGTCACTTCTGAAACTTCTGACCCTTTCGATGCGACTCCAGTTGCCGAAGGCCCACCCACAAAGAGTTCAGATGTTAATGAATTGGAAGGAAGGAATACGCCGACCCCAAGCAAGAGTGAGTATAAAACACCCGACTTGCCGACCATTGTGGTCCATCTTGTGGATAGCAACTCCGTTGAACATGTAGTGGTGGGTACGAAAGATACTTAAAGAATTCTCCTGTGAAATTTTGATAGTGTTGTTACATCGTTCTTCAGTCTTTCATTTTATTAAAGAATCGTGGAGAAACTGAGAAATAGCAGTTTTATGAAATCATTCAGTACAAATGACTTTTTAAGTTTGTTTTATCTTTTAATGGTTGATTGTTTCTTTCAGATTTTGTTATTTTAGAGTCAAACTTTTCAAATAAATATATTTAATATAAAAATCGTTTTATACTCGCTTGTGTGTTTTTTAGACTTACATGCAAAATACATCCCTTTATACCATTCAGTTTAATATTTAAAAAACAATTTTGGATTTTATCAACAAGATACATTAGATTTACGAAATATTCATGTACATTTATACGAAAGTATGCACTTCTATTAATGATTTTGTTGTGCGTGCATAAATTTTGAATATTAAAGATTCATTAGTTTTAAAATGAGTTTTCGGCGTATCTGTATTTATTAATCATATAACATGTAAACTGATCTTAAAGTGTTACTTACAATTTTCAAATGTATACTGAATAATATAATAAATGTCAACATATGAACCAATGTTGTCGCGTTTATCACTGAGCAAAATATAAACGATATGCATTGGGCTCATAAGAGCATTCCAATAACAACATAACGTGTTATTATTGAGAGAAAAAAAGACTAGAGATTCAGTGTTTACAGATTAGTTAGTTATCATAGTTTGAGACACCTTACATGGTTACGGGAATGGAAGATTTCCTTGTGTTTACGCCAATTGCATTTTATGGAGTTGAAGGCTTGAAACAAACAATTATGGTATATTTCTGAGAAAAATTTACTGAAATTCAAAATTCCTAAGGTAAAGCTACAATAACACTGCGAAAACGTCCGGCAGCTGTAATGAGCTTTAAAATTGGAATTAATTTACGAAATTAAGGGCCAGGAGCAAAACCTCTTGCGAAAGCCTCACTCCTAAATTTTCTTTAAAAAAGTAGATATCACTGATGTAAGTTGAGTAGATTATTTTCTAAGTAAGGTCCATTTACGAAAACCATTTGAAATTTCGCATATATGTAAAAATGAATGGACTCGCAAGCTGCCAGCATTTTTTCCATAGAATCTGATGCCACTTGTATTCATAACGTTAATATTCTGAAATGTCTTGATGTGCACTTACCGTGTGAGCAATACCTTGTGGATATTTCTAGGTTTTTTTGTGCTCTCTGGGTATTTCCTTTCAAATTTTTTTTCTTTGAAGTTTGGGCTTTCATCTTAATATCAATATTTGGGGCTTCGTTTGCTCCTTGAAATTATTATACATATTATTATGACGTTCGACAATCAACTTTATAAAAAAACTGGTTGATGTACCGGACGTTGCCCGGGATTTATGCAGACTGAAGAGACTTCATTTAAAGGGATAAGGGTAGTTTTTTCGAAATCTCAAGCAGATCACGATTTTCCTCTTATTTTGGTTCAAGCTGAATTGTGCAAAATTTTACCAAGATCGAATAAAACTGTAGAGCTCCCTAGAACTATACAGCGATATTATGGGTTTTAGTAATAAATGATCCCTGCTTTGTTATTAGTTAAGGCTTTTTTTGTTCTTTTGAAATGAGCTTTTCAGAATTCACCATTTTTCAGTTTGGCGCAGGTTTTCCCCGAATTCAAAAAAGGAGCAAAAAACTGGTAGACAGAATACTTAAATTCTGTTTTTAAAGTTTTACACTTTTCTAACGAATAAAAAAAGGAGTAAACGAACGTAGCACCATCTAACGGTTTTTATTAAGAAGTGTTAATGAGAACGCAACAACGGTGGCGTGAAGAAACTTTGTAGAAATATGAATATTTATTTTTCCTCACGAACTACGGATATCATAAGGATCTGAAATCTTACTACATCTATCGAACATTTCTGAGTATCTCACTAAGCTCCTAAAAACATTCTTTAGAATGCTTAATGTTACACCCCAGGATATCCTCATAAAGTGCTCTTTGTTTCATCCACAAAGTTTGGAATACTATTAGGATTAAGTCTTAATTACTACGTTTACAGGACATCCCGAAATATCACTTTCAACTAACTCATCCTACAGGCTGCTTAACATTGCAATCCCGATATACCCTCATTATATTAAAAAAAGAAGTAAAGCAAATTTGTGAATGTAGAATATTTTGAACAGAAATGGAAACCGAATTTTTGAACAGAAATTTACTTAACAACTAAATTTCTGTTCTAAAAATAGCAACTATTTATAAAATAATAATTTAAAAGGCATCATTTCAAAATTAATTCGGGTCATATGGTCTTGTGTAATGCATACTACAACATGCAGATGACGTTCGACCAGTCACTGATTAAGATTTCACTTGAAACCAAAAGACTTTCTCCACACATTCTTTTGAATGCGTATCACTTTTCCTATCGCTTGGTTTTTAAGTAAAGTATGAAATACAAAGAATGCAAATGTAGGAATTATGTAATGAGTGTATTAAATGTATGGATTATGCACACGTTATGTATGGATGTTCAAAACGAAACGGAGATGTATTCCATACTTTCCCGGCATTTTAGAGGATGCATAGAAAAATGTATCAAATGTTAATCCTTTCATACATTGCTGGCAAGTTTTCGGCATTCTATAAATTCTATTTATAGAATATTTAAGAATATTCTATAAATATTCTTAAATATTCTATAAAAAGCCGATTAAAAAATAATTCTATAAAAAAAAAAGGGATTCTATAAAAAGCCGATATTAAATATTCTATAAAGAATATTCTTAAATATTCTATAAAAAGCCGTTTTTCATACATTACCGATAACATATAGAACCAGATGTCAAGACTTTATTTTATGCTAACCAATTATTTTTAGTTCTACTTTTCTTTTCCTACTGATTTCCCTTTCAGAATGTAAATTTATAATGACGTAGGTGCTAACCTAAACGTGTTTCAGAAACGTTATTTAAGCTGCGTTTCATAAAGGGTAGCAGCTGACTTTGTTCCGAGTTTATGCTGCATGTTTGAATTTAACTCTCTATTCCGTGTTAGGCAACTTCAGGTTATAGTGATATTTCTTTGCTTTGCTGTGTGCAGCCGATTTAGCGTTAAGCTAAGGAACCAGTCGTTAGCTTTTTAATTTATTAGCGATTTGTTACATTCTTATTTTCTTTTATAATTAAGTTAGCCACAAGTTGTGGTCAAATTGTGAGCACCAAATGTGTGCATCTGTTTATTTTAGTTAAAATAAAATGTTATTTTAAACCTTCTTCTACATTATTAATTCTTCAAGACATAGCGAGAATTCTACGTCGTCTTCTACGTAGAGTCTACATTGTACGCAACCTAAAAGAACACTAAGAGCTCACTGAGAACACCGCATTCGTTTGATGCTATGAGCTATCGTGTTAGGAAGCTTATTTTATATATTAAAAATAAATAAGGAAATGTTAATTTGGTCTCACTGCTCGTACCCAAAGTCCTAGATATAAACGATTTTTACTCTTTTTTTTTTTTTTTTTTCTGTGCTACGTGATTTCATCAGCACAATAGTCGGTTTATGCCATGAGTACTTTTCTTACATTTATTTATTATTATTATTTTAACACCTGTCGTAAAATTCTTTCTCGCCCCACTTGTGAATATTTAGTTACATCCTTTAAGTTATAAAAAACTTTTCTGTCGCTTTTTTTTTCAATTGCTATATATATATTGAAGCTAAAAATATAAAAGAAAATGCACATTTTGTTTTAATTTTTTTGGAGCATGGCTCTTTTAAAAGTCTGTTAATTATAGACCTTCTATCTTTTATGTTTTTTAGTAGTGTTGTCCCAACATAACTTATTATCAACATTTAATATTTGGTATTAATAATAGAGGGCAGCACCAGCTTTACATTTCATTCATCGTTCTAACTGTCGAAGGAGAACGTTCTTGCAGCTAAATTCAAAATGAATTTTCTGGTACCCCTAGCAGATGCTTACCTAACATTCTTTTGAAACACGAATCTGCAAAAAATTAAACACACAGGTTTACGCATTAACAGATTTTTCAGTGTTTTAAAATTTTTCTTCTTTCGTGCTTTTTCAAGCAAATGAAAGATTCAAATTTCTTGAAACTGAAAGAAGCGCTATATTTTACACAGAGAAATCATGCATGCACCTGAAAAGACATGAGATACACAGATTTACGCATTAACATAGTTCTTATTCTTTTATTTTCAATCTTTTGATATATATTTTATACAGAGAAAGTAAACATCATGTAGGAAAAAAAGATTATAAATAAAGTGGACTAATTCTGTGAGAATTATCACTTCATTGAATGCGATGATAGAATTTTTGCAATTGAAGTAACTATTGATATTAACTTGTATAACTATTATTATTAATCATAATATTACCTGAAACCCGATGCTATTTTTATCATAGAAAACGCATCTTGTCAAAACGGTAGAATTTGTGAACCATAATAAAAGCTTTTTAACTGACGATATTCAGCTTGTACAATTGACAATTCACGCAGGAAAATTTTAGATTTAAATATTTTTTAACTTATTAACAGTACACACGTACAAGTAAATATTTATTATTATGGAAACGGATGCCCGATCAAGGGCCTTCAGAGTCCACTGTCACTGATGGTGTCGTATAACCAAAAACGAAGTAACAATCGAATGCGATATTGAATTTGAAAACTGAAAATTGATAAGATGGCTTTCAGAGATTATGACTGTTCATATAAATGAACTGAACGTGCATTTATAGGCCTAATCAAAGAATGGATTCTGAAACATTCTGGATTACGTTGAAATTGCGACAATATTAACATTGAAAGCTACAGCTTCCATTTACTCCGCCACTTTGTTTTGCAAAAATGAGCGGTGTCCATTTCAATCCTTCATTCGCATTTCATCATAACACTTCGCATTGAGTTTATTTTAATACTTTCTTTAATGCTCTTATTTTAAATTTCCCGCTGTAAGAGAATCCTGCGACAGTCATAAACCTCTTATTGAAACTTTCTTTGTATTCAATGAAACCAGTTTTGTACACATTTTTTTTCGCCTTTTCTATAGTAAATAGATCTTTGTTTTGTTGTAGCTATTTAAGCAAACTCATGCTTCATCAAGGGTCACTATGTATTTCCATTACTCTCCTCATAAATATTTTTCATATAGTGTTCTACCAAGTGTTTCGCGTTAAGCCACCTTCGAAAAATCTGGAGAATATT